ATTAAAAATACTCCAGAGGCTATTGTTTCACTTAAAAAAAAGATTCCGTCTAGATTTAGTTTTATCACACGTCGTGGACATGTACCAAGCAGGACGCCGTTATACATTTGCATTTTATCTTTGCTGAAGAAGGCAACAGTAGTAGCGGAAACGTCCAGAACAATATATTTTTTAGCCAGTGTCAACTTTTTTGATTCGTTTTACCAAAATTTTTGATATGCCTGGTTACACACCGAATATTGTTTATATTTATTACTTTAAAGAGGTTTACATTATCACACAACTTAAGCCAATTTACAAAATAGTCAAGAATCTTGCTCCTCGTTATTTAACTGAACTATTGCCCAAACTGTCTTGTGAACGTACGCGTTTTCGTCTCAGATCAAGAGATAACTTCACTCAACTTCGTTTGATGAACTTCTACGCTTCAAAAGTCCTTTTGTCCATCAGCAATCACTGGCTGGAATTCTCTGGACCAAGATGTCCGAAACTCTGTATCTCTTCCCACTTTTAAAGCAAAAACTCGGTCGATTATCTTTCCGCTTATTTACTATAGGTTATTTGATGGTTCTTTGTCAAGGCGTGCATCTGTTGATCACACCCCCCTTAGACTTGAGTTTTCTTGTGTAAGAGAATATCTCTTCAAAATTAATAGTTGTGTGTCGCCTATTTGCGAGTGCAGTTTTGACTCTGAATCGGTGAAATACTTTTTCTTGTACTGCCCAAGTATGCCGCTCAACGTGATGTTCTCCTTACCTCTCCCGCTAATATTCTAGGTGAAACATGGTCATCGAGTAGCGATGCCAGGAAACTAAATTCTTTATTGTATGGTGTTGAGTCTGTAAATTACGACGTCAACTGTGCCTTTTTTCGCGAAGTACAAAGTTTTATAATTAACACTAATCGCTTCTCTGAGGCCATTGTTTGAATGTTTAAATGTATTCCAAGCTTAGTAAGTTTAATTCGTTGTTATTGCAACTTGTGTGTGTTTGTTATGCCTGAATAAATTGATTTTATATTTGTAAAATTGTAATTCTCCTCGTAAAACCTAAGTACTTTTGGGAAAAACAATGATAACTATGTTTAAATAAAAAAATAAAAAATAAAACGTTTTACATTATATTACTTTGTTTATTGCGATGTCCGCACTAGCCTTCTTAAAGACTGAGGAATGGAAAAGAGCAGAGGGAAGATTTTTATGTATGCGCGCTAAACCAGCTCGGAAAAATGTTGCTTAGGCAAACGCTATTTTTGCAACGCGGGAAAAAACCTTGAAGTGTTTCCGGTCCACACTTGTAATTGACGTTTGAACGAGAAAATAAAATAAAAATATAATTTACATTTACTATCACTGCAGCCAGGAAAAATAAATTCAAGATTTTCGTGCTCAATTTTTAGTAAATGTCTCAAATCACGCACATTGAGGCACAAAGCAACAATTTCACCTTTCACGCTATTTCTTGAATTAAAATTATCATTAAAAATTCTAGGAATTTGTGAAGTCGGAAACACAAGCCCTAGCCGTGAGTGCAGTGGTGCGTAAATGCAATTTCTACGATATGCGAGCTAAAAGTGTCTCGATCGGTCGCTTTAACGCAAGATTCTACCAGATTAAGTTCTAAATCCATTTATCAGTAATCCTCACCCAAAAAAAGAGGTACAAAATCGACTGTCGAACAATCACGAGTACAAACGCTCGTTTAAGTGCACAAGAATATTAAGGATCTGGTTTCGATTTCCATTCAATGCAAATTGCAATGAAGCATCCTTACCGTAATATGAATATTCGTCATCCATTGTTGATGAGGCGCGAGCTTGAAACTTGTCCTTGATAACTTGTATAATTGGCGAATGCTGAGATGGAAAGAAAAAGATCTTTGTCACTGCTTACTCAAAGACTACAGTGAAAATTAAAACAATAGAAAGTAAGAGTATATTGCAGTATCAAACGAAAATATCTTAAGTTTTCTATGAATTACAGAAGGCAGCTTCATATCTAAAGCTGTAGAAGATTTTGTCTTTATTAAGTAGTTAACACTAGCAGTCGTACATCACTTTTGAGGGCACTTAAGGAGGATTATTTGCTTGTATTTTCTATTACAAAGCGTGAAAATTGTTCCGCTCGCGAGAACTCGTGTTACTTGATACACCCTTAAAATTCTGAGAAATTATTACATCAGGATAATTCATAAGGAATCCAGAAAACTCACCGTCAATCTTTACAGTTTTTCAAGCGAGGATTCCCCTTCTTTTCCCTACAGAAACACTGTCATAAAATAACTCATTCGTATGCACTGTACTTTTACTTTGAATAAAACCGTAGTTCCGGTTTTTCTGGGAAACCGTGAGGGAAAAAAGAGGCTGGGAACTGGAAGAAAGCCAAATTGTGACTTTCCTTTCCGTGTGTTATCTGTGAATCCAGTTGTTTTCAGCCATGTTTTTTAAGACACGGAGAACGACAAAACAGCAAAATTAAATTTTACTTCTTTAATAAACAGAAAATTAAATAAATGTGAGCGGAATGGGCAACCTCATCACGAGAAGAAAACTGGCATTGTAGCAGCTAAAACTGCGTGCGTGATCTGAAATGTTTCGCTGGTGAAACCAAGATTGTTACTTAGCGTAATTGTAAGTTGACGTGGTCATTTTCTCCTACGATTTAAAAAAAAAAAACTTTGGATAATTCGTTCATACTTCGCCAAATTTTGCTGACTATCTCTGTCACGCCACTGTGTTCACCCTGGACAAGAATGACACCTGCACACGTGATCAACAACTTCGCGTCAGTAAACTTGGCGAATCTCCTAATTTTGATGAGCTGTGTTTTAAAGAGCTTAACAACACCTTTGAGCTCGATCTTTTGAATTGTGAAGGCGTTTGCGAGACCTTTTCGACGTCTCTCTTTTAACAGCGATCTTTGTGGGGCCAGCGAGTTACATTTTTATTTCGTCCTTATTTGCGGATCTGGCCCAAAATTATGTGGCAAACGAGGCTTCTTTGCGGGTGACTCTTCAGTTTGCACAGGAGGAGGAGTTGGAACCAATCTTTTCGCCGCTTCTTTATGGACATGACTTGCAGCAATCGATACTTGTGTGTGAACTGCATAACTCCCTTGGAGCGGTAAATTTTGTCAATGTGGATTGCATTGTCTTCTTGAACGTTTTGCGGCTTGGCAAGCGACTTGCTTTTGGTGTTTGAATGACCGTTCTGAGAAAAGATCATCGGAAAGTCAAAAACAATAGTCAGGAACACTGTACAAAAGGGATCAAGAAGCACATAGAATTTAACACCACATAAAGTCGAGTATGCCTGGAAGCTAACGAAGTACACAGAGTCGAGGCTCGAACTTTGCGTGTGAAATTGTTTGCAAAAAACGAATGTGATCTTTTAAACTTTAGTTCTTGCAACTTCTCGTCATAAAGGCCTTCTTCGCAGCCGCTCTTTTGAGACATTTCTAAAATAATGAAAAACGATGAAAAACTAGGAGAGGAATATTCTATTGCCGTTTACTCCGCGCGCAAGATTTCAAATGTAAATTTTACACAGTCTTGGGTTTGACCGTGTATGAACCATGAGGAATATTATATTGTCGTTTACTATGTGGTTAAGATTTCAAATGTAACTTTGTAAACAGTCTTTACTTTAACTGTGTAATAGCCATCGCCCACGCGATGGCCAGAAAAACCATACGGCAAATGACACAAGATTTACTTTGTTACACGTGCTCTTGCTCGGGTTGGCTTGCTGACAAGCTGGGAGGGTATCAAAAGTTGGAAAAAGACTAAACAGTCCCCTTATAAAGCGATTATTAAATAAATATTTAGAGATTTCGCTTATAATTGCAGAATCGGTCACAATAGTATTATTACTACAGAGGTAAATCATTACACGATATCAAACTACAAATACACTTATCCTTGTTTTGAAAATGGTGGATGAATGACCTAATGTTATTCGCCTGTATTTATATGTGAAAAGCTGATTTCTCTTGAGGCAGGCAGAAACAGATGGGGACAGCCTCAAAGCCGAGAAGGAATAAGATTGGAGGTGTGAATGGGAAATCAAAAGATTCCCTTCCTTTGCAAGCTAGTATTAAAAAATGTCAATTGCGGACAATGAGCCCTTCAGTTTTGGCGCGAAAATATTCGTGACAAGTGATACCGCTTGCTTGTCACGCAACATTCATGGTCGCACGGTCTCTCTACAAAAGCAAGGATTACTCTACTCAGAAGACTTACACTGCGATTATAGAAATTTTGATAGGAAGTTTCTTGTCTGAGTGTTCTTATCTGCTGGTAGGACTTCCTCTCCCTCACTCGTTCATACCGAAAAACGTAAGATATTGCCACAGAACCACTAGTTGAAGACGAAAAAAAAACTAACACGTTAATTTTTCTTTCCATATTTTATTTCAGTAAATAAACCTGTTCGTGAAACCCGTGGGTAATACTATGCCACACTTTCTGACCGAGCTTTTGGCTGCCAACTAAATAATAAATGCTTCTTTAAGTTTCTTTTCAGTAAATGTTTTACATCATAAATCAAATGTCATCTTAGCGACGTCACTGTCATTTCTCAAAAAGGTACGCATATTTTTCGAAATTCTCTACTTTCGCCAGTTTTATTTTTGGTAGAAAATTGATGTAACAAAATATTGTTTGTCTGTCTGGCGATAAAAAGGAAAATACCGTTTTGAGAACAGCAGAACTCTTTTCTTTTCCAAGAGAGAAAACGGGGCTAGCGCGAGGTGAACGCGTGGGGCGAGGAACACGACTATGTCGTGGTCCCCGCGCACGTCTCGCGTTTCCCTACGCTCGCCCGAGAAACGTGAAAAAATGACAACTGTAGCCTGTAGGCTAGTGGTAACTCCACTGTTGAGATAAAAAAGCGTTCAGCTGGATTTTACTGTTTGGCATTACAAGGACCCTCTAGCTCCAAGGATATAATCATTCAACTTATAGGATAAAGAATAAGCTTTGAGTAAAGAAAGCTATCGAGAAACTATAACCAACATTTATATGATGTTCCCTACACTGTGAAGGAGAACGATTTTCTGCAATTCATATAGCTGATAAACTAAGTTGAACTATAAAGCATTTCAAGCTTTTTCGGCCTTTAACTCTGCTGTTTTCTAAGTAAAAGGTCCATGTGGTCTTCAAAAGGTTATAAGGTATTCAGGGTAACACTGATTATCAAAGAAAACAACAAAGATGCTGGGGCTTGATTGATTATTTACCACAGAATCGTAAAGAATTTCAGGTTTTGATGGGTTTTTTGGTGGAGGCACCTTCATTGAAGGATTTCCAACACAATACTGCCCTACGAGAACCTTGGCAAGATACATGTGGCGCCCTCCATAACCACCACCCCCAGCGTATCCAACAGAGTATTGAGCGTCTCTAGCAAAATAAACACCACGTCCATAAGCCGTGCCTGAAAAAAAAAAAAAAAAAAGAATGCTCAATGTAGAGAAAAATATCAACAAAATCATACATTCAGTGAAGTTATTTGTTAGGAGAGAGGCAACTGTATTATTCTTCTATTATTACAGCTATTATTACAAATTTTTGGCTCCAAAGAGTGATTTGGCCTGAGCTCATGCAACGTCTGGGTGACTTGGTAGGACAGGTAGACAAATATATGAATAGAATTGTGGCCAAAACATCATTAGGCTTTTATAGTTAAGAGCAATCGCACTAAAATATTGCTTCAATGATCTTTTTTAACACACGAAGCTTTCGAAATGAATGATCCTTGCAGGATGTAGAAGGCGTGCCACATATTAACCATGTGAAAACCCTGCTCATCGTAGAGTCTGAAGCTCAATAGTATAGCGTTGAAAAATGAAATCTGAAGATCTGAGTTTCGATTCCTCACAAGTACTTGAAATTTTTCCTTAATCCCACCCCGTAGCTAGACGAGAAAACTTCTCCTCTATTTAAAATTTAACTGACTTACCATGAGCCCCACAGAAGCTCCTGTTGAATCCTTGTGTGTTGATATGGTTGATATTTTTAGCATCAGTTCCATGAAACAGCTGTCTTTCACTATTTCTTCCAGTATCTTTATCCATTTTCTGTTTTCGTACCAGGTAAGACTGATACAGATGAGGATTCTGTACGCGTTCAATCCTCTGAATATTTAACGCACCGACTGTAGCTTGAAACTTACGTACCACATCTTGATACTCAGGGGAGCTTGGGTGCAGCGGTACTTTATGTACAGTGGAGTCATGGCTGGGCATTGGTGTCCAGTGCTTTGGCAGAGCAATTCCTACAGAAAGGACCAAAAGATTAGAATGTTGAAATGAAAACCCATCGACTGAAGTTAAATTTCAACATCCAAGAACATATTCAAGGTAAGACACATTCAAGATTATCAAGAAAGCTCAGTGGAGACATTTAAGGACAGCTTTTCTGAATATCCCCTTCCTGTATTAAATGTTTATTACCTTAAACGTCCTCTGGGACATGAAATAGCTCGCAGTCCTTTCTTAAAGCTTATCGAAACATCCTCTTCAAAAGAAATGCATAGCAACTAACCTTCATCAGCACCCTTCACCTTTCTTGTCAGTGTTATTTGTTCACCAAATGTTTGTCCACGTCCAGAGTTTCTCTTCAAGTCGATAACAAACTTGTCTCCTCTTAGAGAAACTTGCACTGTGTGCTCGTCTTTGCTGTGGGCCAACTCAATCTTGGCATTTGCTTTCGGAGCAAACGCCATTTGTATGCCTTGTATTTCATAGCTCCACTCTAAGTTCTTTGAAACCAACTTCGCTTGTTCTTCGTCCTTCTTCTTCTTCGTCCTCTCGTTGATCTCTTTCCAGATCTCCCCGACTATTCCAGAAACTTCGGTTGGTCCACCACGAACGACAATGCGATTAAAGTCATCCTCAATTTCAAGTTTGACGTCACGGTCTTTAGCCTTTTTTCTCAGGATATCTTTCTGCTTATCGGAAAGCTGACTGACCGTTTCATTTTCGACTTTTTCCGTTGTACAGGCGTCAGAGAAACCTTTCTTCAAAGATTCCACGGCTTTTCCCACGCTCACCTTGTCTTTGCCGATCACAGAAATTATTACAGAATGTTCATTACTTTGGCCTGGTGCCTGCCTACGTCCGCGTCTTCGGGTTTGCTTAACTACTGCATCCTCTGAGTCACTGTCTTCTTCAATACCTCGCACCAGTTGTTTTTTCTGCTCTTGTAGAAACTCCTGCATCATAGGGGCCTGGAGCACGACCACTCTTACTTTTTTAATATTTTTACAGCGGGAAACGAATGCGTTTAGTGCTTTGAACGTCAGTTGGGCTGAGTCCGCTGCGGTCAAGCCGTATCCTCCTGTGCCAACACACGGAATTGAGATTGCTTGAAGATTATTGGCATCCGCAACGCGAAGACCCTCCTCCAAACATTGCTGGAGATGGTGCTTATCTGAGGAGCCTGGAATTATGTGAATAATATGAGGCACTCGTAAATTACCTCCGCTGGTCATTTTCGCTGTTCCAGGAGGCTGCTTTCCCAATTGGTTGCATTCTTGTTGCACAAGTCGACCACTCCGTCTTGCTATGGCTTTGCTTAGGTCTCCGGCATTATTCATGTTCATGTCCGTGCTGTTGATATTCATGATAGCATCAGTGCTGTTCTCCTGCGTCAAATCACCATTTATCACCTCGATACTGAACGGGCTAGTTAAGGTTATGCGCTGAGCCACACCTACTTGTGGAGAAAAAGAATGCCTCTGATGTTCTTGCTGAAATGCCGACAGCATTGGAGACTCGAAGATTACGATCCTGACCTTGCGGACACTACGGAAGCTTCTACTAAAGTTTGTCAGGGCCTTAAATATCAAGCCGGCCGAGTCCACTGCAGAAACATGGAATGCACCAGTACCAACTGCGGGAATCGAAATGGATCTAAGACTATGCGTCTCTGCCAGCCGAAGACATCTTTCAACACACTGCTGGAGGTGGTCTTTATTATTGGTGTCTGGAATTAAGTGAATAATTTTCTGCGTAGGGAGATTTCCACTGCTGGTGATCAATGCGGTTCCACCTGATTGCTGTCCGAACTGCTTCAACTCAGTCTCAACCTGTGGCCCGGCTAGCTGTTTCACCGTCTGGCTCAACTTTCCAGCACTGTCCATATTCAAGTCTTTACTTGTTATATTCACTATGGCATCCGTAGTTTCCTGGCACAAGTCGCCCTGCAAGACTTCAATGCTTACACCCAATGTCCCCACTGTTTTCTTCCATCCAAAGAAGGAACGTATTCCTTTAGTTAAAGTCGTGATGGCAGGGAGGCTAGTTTGCTTGGGCTGTAGTTTGTCCATCTCTTGTTTGAAGGCGGTAGTTAATGCTTGATCTTGGTTAAACACGACAAATCGGATGTCCCGTAAATTAGAAGCAAGGTTGGTTTTGCAGAAATTGACTGTTTCATCCAACATGATTCTCGAGGCTGCATCGCGTGGGAAGCGCAGGTTTCCAGTCCCAATGACAGGAAATGCAATGGAGTTCGCTCTAAGCGTTTGGCCTGTTTGCAGACACTTTTGAACGATGGCCCTTAGCGTCTACAAAAGATGAAATAGAAGTTGTTGAAAATCTTTTCGTTCCTATGTGATCTCAATAGCAATTCTCCACACTGTCTTCTGTACATTTCTTTTGAGTTTGGAACTTAAAATTTAGCGTTAAGTCATACAATATCCCCTTATTGGTATATTTTCCTTCTTCCCGTCGCCTTTCCGGTTGATAATGGATTGATAAAGGGAGGAGAAAAACCTTAAAGAGTGACCTTAAAAAGGTTAAAAAACTGACTCCCCTTCGAGCTATTTTTAGTTTTCTTGGAATTTGTTTTCCGGGGATCAAAGTTATCTGAAACTTGAATTTTGTTAACATTTTTCAGAGGATATTGAGAGGGCGCCATGCAGGATGTTCACACCAGAGAACATCAGGATCAGGATCAGGATCGAGGATGTTTGAATTATAACTTCACGGAAATTACCTTTAGTCCTAATTAATTTTTTCTCATTTTGTTTTTTTTCTAGCAAGATCTTTGCTCTCACCAACTCTACAAAATTTCTGATTAAGATTTTCGAATGATACCAGAAATTGAAAGTTACTTTATGAAATAATTGTGTCGTTACATATACGATTGATCATTCCCGAAGAGAATGGTCCTGTTACGAAAGAACAACGAACCGACGCTATTTATTCTATTCCTTGCAATGACTGTGATAACGAGTATCGAACGGACCAAACGTCAGTTTGGTACACGTTTGAAAGAGCATCAAAAAGCGGTTTTCTTTTATAAAAAAGAAAATTTAGCTTTATCGGAGCACACATGCCTAACCAACCCTACAATTCAGGGGGATAAGTCTAAAATTATCATTACTAATCGGCGTTACCACCAGCGCCTTTGTTTGGAAGCCTGGCATATTAACTCCGTCCACGCTCCTCTAAATCGTGATGATGGCGGCCTACTTCCTGACGCCCATTTACACCTCGTTAGAAAAAAGGCAGCTAATTGGTGAACGTATAAAGGGACCTCTGGTTGCAGCGTTTAGATCACCCCTGATGAAGGCATTAGACAGGAATGTCGAAATATTGGGTCTATGAATTGTAACTTCTCGGTTACATTCATTAAATCTTTAAACCAGAGTAGCATCAAACCATGTCTGACATGACGGAATGTTTGACGATAACCTACATCGGAAATAACATCAAATCGAGCCTGAACAGTCTTCAGTTGCTGTATGCTACAAGAGAATGGATAGGATTCGCCAGTCGGGCATCCGACATCGTTTAGGCTTTAATCAAATCTAAACAATAAGTACTCTTCAATGTATTTTCATTGTTTCTTACCGGCTCCCCTTCACCGTTGTTCCACTTACAACAGTTAGCGAGAATCACGTGACTGACCGAGGAAAAACCACCTGAGACAGTGATGTCACCAACGTTGGGGATTTTGGACTTGGGGCCACCGGTGTTAATGATTGCTTTATGGCATGCTCCTAGAGAACTGACAAGTACGTCAGCCTGGAAGACACAACCAAAAAAATATTGTCAGTGCTTCATGAACTTCTTCAATATGGTTGACTGTAATCGTTATCAGACTTGGCACTCCTAATTAGAGAGGCGTTACATAATGTAACCACACTCTATGAGCAGATGAGAGCTAAGTGAAGAACTAAAATCCATATAAGAGGAATGGTAAGTTTTTGAGCTCGGTGAAGAAATAAAGAAACATTTTTTTCGTCTTGTCCCATGCTCGTGGCAAGACGAAAAACATTTTTCTTTATTTCTTTACGGAGCTCAAAAACTACCATCTCTCTTGTTTCCATCTACAAACATTACGCTATCGACATTGCTGATCCTAGCAGTATGCAGGACGCGTGTTATATGAACTTCGTAATGTGGCTCAGTGGTAGAGCATCGGAGCGCGGAATCCAAAGGTCTGAGGTTCGATTCCTCATGGCGACTCAGATTTTTTTTCTTTGTCACACGCTCGTGACAAGACGAAAAACATCTTCCTTTAAAATCCATATATGTGCCAACAAGATCCTCTAAGGTATTTTCGTAAAATATTCTGCTGGTGTGAAGAAATAAGTGAGTCGATCTTACCTTCTCTTCCGCTATGTTTCCAGGTTTCCACGACACTCTGTACCTTTGGGCTATTACCAGGGTAGACGAGTCAGTTCCAGTAGTGGTAGCGTGGTCATCCTCCGCATCATCTTCACCGTCGCCTGAAGTAGTAGAGGCTTCAAAAACAGATTCGACGCGCAGCTCCTCTTCCTTTCCTCCTCGACCTAAACTTTTCTGGACTTTTATGGCACAGTCTTGTTGTTTTTCCACCATTTTCACCAGCTGATCTCCTTTTCCACTGTCAAAGTATTTTCGAAGGCCTGGCTGTTTCACTTCAAAGGTTTTGAACTCAGTGGAATCCATCAGAGCATCGAGCTTCTTTCCTACACGTTTCAAACCATCTCTGTTTCCAGAAATGACAAAATCATCATTGTCTTTTCCCTTTTTAATACTCACTACAAAATCTTTTAGTTGATTCTCTATGGTGCGTAGATCTTCTTGACGTGGCTCAAGAAGATACCTTCGCATAATATCAGACGTGCACACAAACCTTCCCTCCCTGATGCAATTGTTTTCAAGAAAGGTATTTAACTTCTTTATCACTTCGGTCACGTCATCACGAAACCCAGCTACGTATGTATCGTTCCAGTTGTCCCTCCGGACACGGACAGCCGTTTGGTTCATCTCGCCACACAACCTCAGCCATTCAGATGACTTTAATAAATGCTTGCTTTTCTCGTCCACTTGAACTTTCTCTTCCACCGTCAACTTGTTCACGAGCCCCGCCGCGTTGTTTGCATGCGCTGCTGATGATCCCACTATGGTGGCGTCTTTCTCAATAACGAACACTGCTTCCACGTTGTTTCTTTCCAACTCACATTTGACAGTCTGAAGCCCCTCATCTGAGTTTAAAATCTTCAGGATGCTGACGGATAAAGTTAGTTTCTTCTCAACCATGTCAGCCATTTGTTTGTAGAACTTCATGGTTGCCTCAGTGAATTGTGACTGGGGACCTTCGAAATATATTTCTTCACCTTCAGTATTAATCTTGATCTCCAGCTCCTTGTTCTTTTCTTGGAGTTTCTCGGCAAATTTTATCTTCTTCAGCAAAATTAGGCGCTCCTTAGGAACATTTGGAATTTTCTTCTTCAGGTAAGTTTTTCTGGTCTCCTCGCGGTATATTTCTTCCAACTTTGACTTCACCTTATCCTCGTTATTTTTCACGTTTGTTCCTAATGAAACGATCCTAGCAATATTTGAATCAGGAATAGTCTTGATCAGCGGGGGATCAACTCCTAAGCAGATGCGAATGCTGGGAACTTTTGCTACAACGGCTTCCCAGAAATCCTTGTTGACCTGCACATCGCACTTCGCAAACTTGCCGAGATAATTTTGTACTTGGTCAATACATTCAGATTGCCATAAATCACTGTCATCTTCCCCACGGTACACTATTACAGCCATTTTGCTGTTGGGTTTCCAGGTGATTTCGCTCTTCTTTCCAGCCAGCGAATTGTTCAGTTCAGCTTGGAATCCTGTAGACGTGACGTATTCCATAACATCGGGATCTACAGCTATGTACAGCTGTTGTGCTTTGGCATCACGTTTCTGGCTCACTCGAGATTCACTGGCCGCGGTTGCAGTAGCTCCTAAGTCACCGGAATCCTCCGCTCCATCAACGTCTTCGTCTTCTAGAAACTCTCGGTAAGCTCTAATTGACAGCTGGGTTTGTTCAATCTCATAAGGTTTCTCTTCATGTCTGGTTAACACTCTTTCCATATCTATTGATTAAAGCAACTAGGTGTTTGTCGTTTCACAACACTTCACGACATTTTAATTTGAGAGATACGCACAGAGTAAGGACGATGGGGTTGTTGGGGCGGAGTAGATCAATCAATCAATCAATCAATCAATCAAACAATCGATCAATTCACGATCTAAATACTAATTCATCCCTCCTTAAGTCTAATGTGAAGCTCAAGTCTTAAATCGGGGCAATCAATATTTGCTACGTATGTTGGAGGATCAGATGTCGATTATTCGTGCCTGAGGGAATTACACTATACTTATATTTTAGAGATCAGTGACCTACAAACCTTTTGCATCTTGAAACACAACCACAGCTTGACTACTTTTAGGAACATGGTGAACCTTCTCCACAGGACCCCCACCATTTTGACGACTCTCAAAGTACAGTTCAATAAAATCATGGGTAATGTCTGAAAAGCCAGTGAAAAGGGTGCTTTTGCAAACCGGGACTTGTTGGATGGTTTTTCCACCCCGTCCCCCACCGTGTCCCCTACCCTTTCGCTTCGGTTTTGGTTTCGGTTTTGGTGGAGGTCCTCGACCGCCTTGACCTCCACGTCCCATTTGAGGCTGAGAATTGCCTTCATCGCCAAAGTGCCGTTCCTGAGATTCATAAAGCAAATAATCTTGATTTCCTGCAATTGGTACCTGACGAAAGCAACCTCTTTGTCCTCGTTGGTTTCCACGTCCTCTCTGCGACGGAAAGGCGTTTTGATGATCAAACCACTGTCCTTGAGGGGTATAAAAGTGATCATCTCTATGCACTTGGGTGTTGTTTGGATCCTGGTAAAACCCACCTCTGGGTCCCCTTTCCGGTCCTGCTCTTCTGTTGCCTCTTTGCCTTGAGTTGTGGCCTCGACAAGCTTGGTTCCTCTCATTTTGATCCGATTTATCGCTATCACAACCATTTCTTCGCTCATCTTGTCGTTCTGCATCGCCATGTTGCCCTTGCGTTTGATTTTTTTCTCTTGGCCTACTTCTATTTTTCTTCCCTCTATTACTTTCGTGTTCAGGGCCTCCGGAAGATTTGTCCCCTGCCACCCAAGCTTGCTTAATAGGGCCGTGAGTTAGAGGATCTTCAAATTTTCTTTTAGGTTTCGTAATCAATGGCCTTCTTTCAGCTGGATTTTTAAAAACGTCCGCAGGATTCTCCGTATCACGAAACTTTTGTAGGTTTTGACGTGCTCTTTCCATATTTCCTCTCACGTCATCTTGACGGAGAACTGTCGTGATAAGAACTAGTGGCAAACAACTGAATACCTCTTGCAGTTGTTTTGATTTTTGTTCAAATTCTCCTGGGTCTTCTTCGTCCGTCTCCAGCCCTTCTTGCTCGTTCTTGTTGACAGCAGATGAAAAATCCAACTCCTTGTCAACATTCTTCTCAACTGTTTCACGAAATCCGTCATCCTCTTTGTCAACAAAGTCAATGACATTAAAAAAACCACGATCTTTATTTCCTTCTTCTCCTTGTTGTTGTTGTTGTTGTTGTTTTTCTTCTTCTTCTTTTTCCTCTCCTTCTTCTCCTGTTTTCTCTTCTTCTTTCTCCTCTTTTATTTTTTTCTCTTCTTTTTCCTCTTTTTTTTCCTCGTCTTTTTCTTCTTCTTCTTCTTCTTCTCCTTTCTCTCCTTTTTTTTCTTCTTCTTCTTCTTTTTTTTCGTCTTTTTCTTCCTCGTCCTTTCTTTCTTCCTCTTCTTCTTCTTCTTCTTCGTCTTCTTTTTTTTCTTCTTCTTCATCGTTGCCGTCTGTGAATGAAAAAGTGAGGGACCAGCCAGTATTTATCAATGGTGGCCTTGAGATACATGTTATACCTCTCAAAGTCAACTAACAAAAAAAAGGAAATACAGCTAATTACAAGCGCCCCAAAAGTCAGTGAAGGTGATAATACAGGATTGTTTACTTTGATCTGTATTATTTTAATAGTTTGGAGAAGAAAATCGAAACGTCTAAATACGTTGGATCACCTAAAATAAGGCATCTTAATTCTTCACGTACTAGTTAAGCATACAACAATTCTAATCAATGAAAAGTTAGTTTCACATAATTTGAAGGTAAATTCACCGCGTAAAACTGAGAGGATGAAACTGAGCTGGCGTGGACTTTCATCTCCGATAACTCACGAACAGATCACAGACATAGAATAGAGAAATTCCTGCTAAATCTCCAAATTCAGTTGAAAGGTACGTACCTTTGATTTCATCAGCCATGGTGACTAAGGCTTTTCCATTCTTCAGCATCTGTAGGTCCTTAACCTCTTCCTTACCACTCTTTGCCTTGATAAAGTTCACCAGTCCTTCCCGTGAGGTTTTTTCACCCAGCCCTTGAATGAATATTTTATTTCTTTCAAATTGAGACTGATCAGCAGGTTCCTCTTCTGCCATACTGGGCATGCTCTGTGCTCGTCTTATCCCAGTTTGACCAGCATCTCTGTTACCAAGTCGGTTCTGTGGCCTACCGCGGTCTCCCTGTCTGCTTTTGTTGGTTTCACCTTGTCTGAACTTCCCTGCATCCGAATTATCGAAAGAACTGGGGGTTTTATTGCTGACAAGCTCCTTCAAGGATATTGGATGCACCTGATTTTCATGAGAACCTCCTCCTCTTCCATTTTGTTGGTTCGGTTGTATTTGCATAAACTGAGAGTCATCTTTAGCATCTGAAAATTGATTGCTCCCCTGAAAATCTCCCGGAATTTGATGTTTCTCTTGAAAATTTCCACCCCGTCCCCCACCGTGTCCCCTACCCTTTCGCTTCGGTTTCGGTTTTGGTTTTGGTGGAGGTCCTCGACCGCCTTGACCTCCACGTCCCATTCGAGGCTGAGAATTGCTTTCATCGCCAAAGTGCCATTCTTGAGATCCATAAAGCGAATAATCTCGATTTCCTGCAGTTGGGTCCTGGCGAAAGCAACCTCTTTGTCCTCGTTGGTTTTCACGTCCTCTCTGCGACGGAAAGGCGTTTTGATGATCAAACCACTGTCCTTGAGGGGTATAAAAGTGATCATCTCTATGCACTTGGGTGTTGTTTGGATCCTGGTAAAACCCACCTCTGGGTCCCCTTTCCGGTCCTGCTCTTCTGTTGCCTCTTTGCCTTGAGGTGTGGCCTCGACAAGCTTGGTTCCTCTCATATTGATCCGATTTATCGCTATCACAACCATTTCTTCGCTCATCTTGTCGTTCTGCATCGCCATGTTGCCCTTGCGTTTGATTTTTTTCTCTTGGCCTACTTCTATTTTTCTTCCCTCTATTACTTTCGTGTTCAAGGCCTCCGGAAGATTTGTCCCCTGCCACCCAAGCTTGCTTAATAGGGCCGTGTGTTAGAGGATCTTCAAATTTTCCTTTAGGTTTCGTAATCAATGGCCTTCTTTCAGCTGGATTTTTAAAAACGTCCGCAGGATTCTTCGTATCTTGAAACTTTTGTAGCTTTTGACGTACTCTTTCCAGATTTCCTTTCACGTCATCTTGACGGAGAACTGTATTGATAATAACTGGTTTCAAAAAAATGAATTCCTCCTTCAGTTGTTCTGATTTTCGTTCAAATTCTCCTGGGTCTTCTTCGTCCTTCTCCAGCCCTTCTTGCTCGTTCTTGTCGACAGCAGATGAAAAACCCAACTCCTTGTCAACATTCTTCTCAACTGTTTCACGAACTCCGTCATCCCCTTTGTCAACAAAGTCACTGACATTAAAAGAACCAAGATCTTCATTTCCTTCTTCTCCTTGTTGTTGTTGTTCTTCTTTTTCTTCTTTTTCCTCTTCCTCTTTTTCTTCTTCTTTCTCTTCTTCTTTCTCCTCTTCTATTTCTTCTTCTTTTTCCTCGTCTTTCTCTTCTTCTTCTCCTTCTTTTTCTTCTTCTTTCTCTCCTTCTTCTTCCTTTTTTTCTTCTTCTTCTTCATCTTCGCTGTCTGTGAATGATAAAGTGAGGGACCAGTCAGTATTTACCAATGGTGGCCTACATACATGTTATACATGTTATACCTCTCAAAGTCAACTAACAAAAAAAAAAAAGAAATACAACTAATTTACAAGCGCCCCAAAATCAGTGAAGGTGATAATACAAGATTCTCTTCCCTCCTCTTTCCCCAAAAATCAGTTAAGTTGATAATTTACGATTTTCTCCCCTCCTCCTTCCCCCCACCCCCACTGGAAATTTCTCCTTACCACCCTGCGTTTCAAATGGCCCTGTGGCTTTTTCCGCCATTACCGTACACGATCTCGCTACAGTGAGGGTCGCCCACTGACTTTCTATGGGAATGCCTCTTCGAACTTACAATACAACGTTTCATTACACTGAAAAATTCAACGTAACAATCTTAACGTTAGGGAGACGAATAGATGTTATGAGGAGCAAAACCAACGATTCGAATGGGGTTAGATAAATTATGCCGGTGTAATTTGGGGCATGATACTATAATTAGAGCATCGAACATAATGCCAGCATAATGTCTAAACTTATGAAAAAATCCCTTGATTTTACAGTTCAACAAGAGATAAATTCTTTAGCCTGAGTAAAGTCAAAAGTGATCCCGCTTTTCCTGTTTGAACTTTAGGAATTCGAATGTTCTGATCTGAACTAAGCCTTTTACTCTCAACAAGTTTTACCTGTTAGTGATAGGAATGGTGGGCGGGGTTGAGGAGCTCTTAAAAACTAAGCTGTCATTACGAATTACTGAACTGAGCGTAAAGGAAACAAGTAAGCTTAATGCCATGGTATTTTCAAGGGTGACGCTCAAAAGTATAATGCTCAAATATTTTAGTATAATTTATCCGACCCTTGATTAAAATAGAGAGCACAACAACTCGTGGGCATTTCATTCCGAGATCAAGAGATTGAAGATATCTTGATATGCCTGAATAAAGAAAACAGCATCTCCATGCGTCTACTTCATTTTTGAGTTATTTAAAAGAAAAAAACTAGACCCCGTGAGCAGGGTAACTGGGATACCTGGATGGTACTGGATCCTTGGGATCAAGTACAGTGATACTACAGGTGTCGGACTAGTATATTGAAATAGTAAGCTTAAGTCTGGCCAAGGGCATACACCTATTTCAAAAAAGGTTGTCATCAGGCGATAGGTGAAAGGTCATTCCAAGACGGAAAGGAATCATGGGTATGCAACTCAGTAAATAGTTCTTGCCGAGTGTTCTACATTTGTTTTTTTAACTGAATGAAAGTTTTTCTGTAAAGTATTCTTTTAAAAACAGAGTTAATGAAATATCAACTTTCCCTAATCTTATTTAAAAAAGCTGTGATCTTATGATCTAAATCATGTTGAACTGCTGGACATCACTTACAATGTTTCAATTAATCCACCCACGCCAACTGAAATAACTCTTGTATGCATAATATGCTTATGACATATTTAGCGAGCCTTTTTTTATTGAAAGCACACGGTTCATTTAATGGAATTATTTTTTTCCCGCCTATTTTACATTTTCCATTGCGGGAAATAATTTTTTTCTGCTTCTAGCTGATTAAAGCAAGCTCAGACAGAAAAATTTTTATCCTGATGTTGATATCGATTTGCTTGTGTAACAGACTGTCTAGAAATGCTGAATTGATAGTGGGTGAAAATAATTACACTCGTGTTATGACTTCCGGTTTAAGTCGAGCACATAACATGGGGGATGTCCCTCCGATGAGTAAAGGAAATAAATGCTTTTCGGATTGTGATTTATCAATCAGTAACTTTGAGGACTCTATCATCTCAAGAGACGTAATTCCTTGATTGTGAAGTTTTTAGATACTCTGTTTCTTTAGAGTTTGCTTGCATCAGAAATTTACAAGTGCAAACAATTGCCTCCGGATGCTTCGACCCTTCGAGATTGCTGTGCTTAATTTTTAGCAAATTTGTCAAATCACGCACATTGAGGCAATAGGCAACAATTGTTCTTTCACGTTATTTCTTAAACTAAAATTATCACAAGAATTCGAGAAATGTGCGAAGTCATGATCACAAGCCCTAGTGCAGTGGTGCGTAAATACAACTTCTACGATATGCGAGCTAAAAATGTCTAGATCGGTCGCTTTAACGCAAGATTACGTTCTAAATCCATTTATAAGAAATCTTATGGTAAAATTTCCGCACATTCCCATCCTATTGTAAAACAAATCTGTTTTCCCAAGGCAATGTATTGTTTTTGCATTGTTTTCTCTCTCCAAGAACTGAATGCATAATGTAGTATGGGGCTGTGCGGAAATTTTACCAATCTTATACCTAAAAGAAGAGGTACAAAATCTACTGTCGAACAATCACGAGTGCAAACGCTCGTATAAGTACACAAGAATATTATCGGTTTGTTTTGAATTTACATTCATTGCAAATTGCAATGAAGCATCCTTACCGTAATATGAGTCTTCGTCAAATTGCAAACAATTGCCTCCGGATGCTTCGACCCTTCGAGATTGCTGTGCTTAATTTTTAGCAAATTTGTCAAATCACGCACATTGAGGCAATAAGCAACAATTGTTCTTTCACGTTATTTCTTGAACTAAAATTATCACAAGAATTCGATAAATGTGCGAAGTCATGATCACAAACCCTAGTGCAGTGGTGCGTAAATACAACTTCTACGATATGCGAGCTAAAAATGTCTCGATCGGTCGCTTTAACGCAAGATTACGTTCTAAATCCATTTATAAGAAATCTTATACCTAAAACAAGAGGTACAAAATCTACTGTCAAACAATCACAAGTGCAAACGCTGGTATAAGTACACAAGAATATTATCGGTTTGTTTTGAATTTACATTCATTGCAAATTGCAATGAAGCATCTTTACCGTAATATGAGTCTTCGTCAGCCATTGTTGATGAGGCACGAGCTTGAAACTTGACCTTGATGACTTGAGGAATTGGCGAATGCTGAAATAGAAAAAAGAGAGATCTTTGTAGCTGCTTACTCAAAGACTACAATGAAAATGAAAACAGTAGAAAGTAAGAGTATGATGCAGTTTCAATCGCAAATATCTTAAGTTTGCTATGAATCACGGAAGGCAGCTTCATCTCTAAAGCTGTTGAAGATTTTGTCTTTTTATCAAGTAGTTAACACTAGCAATCGTACATCACTTTTGAGGGCTTTTGAGGAGAATTAATTCCTTGCATTTTCTAGGACAAAGCCAGAAAATTGTTCAGCTCGCGAGAACTTGTGTTAGTTGATAAATCCCTGAAAATTGTGAGAAAGTATTGCAACAAGATGATTCACAAGGAATCCGGAAAACTCACCGTCAATCTTTACAGTTTTCAAGCGAGGATTCCTCTTCCTTTCCCGACAGAAACGCTGTTATAAAATTACTCATTTGTATGCATTGCACTTCTAATTTGCATGAAACCGTACTTCCGGCTTTCTTGGGAACCGTGAGGGGATAAAGAGGCTTGGGAGCAAGCCAAATTAAGACTTTCCTTTCCGGGTGTTTCGTGTGAATCCAGATATTTTCAGCAATGCTTTTTTTTAAGACACAGAGACTGACAAAACAGCACAATCAAAGTTCACTTCTCTAATAAACAGGAAATTAAATAGATGTGAGCGAAATGGGTAACCTCATCACAAGACGAGAACTGGCACTGTAGTAGCCAAACCTGCGTACTGCGTGATCTGAAATAAACAGAGGCACTGTATCGCGGGAAAAACGATTAAACGTTTATTTATCATTATAGTTGGGATTACGACATTTTTGTTGCATGAACAGGTTTTAATTAGTCGAAGAAGATGTTTTGGAGAGCTCGCGCAGGAAAATAATATTTCAATGTTTCGCTGGTCGAACCAAGATTGTTACCTAAAATAATTGTAAGTTGACGTGGTCGTTTTCTTATACGATTTAGAAAAAAAGAAAACGATCCCGTTCATTTGAGGCTTTTTATATTTGAAAGTTTAAGCCCGAACTTAATATCCGGAAAGAATTTATTGAACACAGAGACCTTAAATTAATGGATCGATGGAATATTTCGGACACATCCCGGAACTCGAAATTATTATTTGTTGTGTTCTGTGACGTCATTTCGCCTTGATTGCGAAGCATTGGTTTCCAGTTTGTCAGGAGCGCTGTTGCTAGGCTACAAGCATCAATAGAAGTATAGAGATAGGATTGGTAACCAGTCAAAGAAGAAGAAAAAAGTTCTGATAACCGTGTGGAAATGGATATTAATAGAAAGTACAAGCATCTAGATGGTAAAAACAAATGGGTCTGTAGTTTGCAAAATTCCTAAATTCTTAGTATCCCACATCGAAAATAAGGTGCTTTGAACTGAAATTTCCTATGGCCATCCAGTGATTTTTCTGAAGGGTTTTTAATGACTTACCGAGCGATTTGACGCCCTAGTCTGCTCTTTTCGCCGCTACTCTATGGATCTGACTTGTGGCAATCGATACTTGTGTGTGAACTGCACAACCCCTTTTGTCAATGTGGATAGTTTTCTTGAACATTTTGCGGCTTGGCAAGCGACATGCTTTTGGTGTTTGGATGACCGTCCAGCAAGTTATATTTTTAAGATCATCATGTGAAAGTCTCTTTTCGCCAAACACTTGTGGCAATCGATCTTGTGTGTGAACACCTTTTGTCAATTTGGATATACTTGAACATTTTGCGGCTTAAAGCGACATCGTTTGGATGATCGCCTGAGAAGGTCAACGAAATACACAATAGGGTATCAGGAACACCGTTCAATTTAATACTACATAAAGTGCGAGATAGTTTGTAAATACGAGTGTGGCCTTCTTCGCAGCCGCTCTTTTGAGACATTTCTGAAATGATGAAAAATGATGAAAAACCAAGAGAGGAATATTCTATTGCCGTTTACTCTGCACGTAAGATTCCAAATGTAACTTTTAAACATTCTTAACTTAAAAAAAATTATTGACATTTTAGTAAAACTTATTCCGTGAAGCTTTCGATAATAACTGATTCAACTTAAATCAAGCCTCCCAAAGTGTATATTCTCTGTAAAACTCGCTCAATTCTAGAGGTAAAATATTATTTCTGTGGTTGTAATGAAAGAAACATGTGACGACCGTCACGCAAAGCCTGTGGAAGAGTGATGCGTGACTGGCTCTCCTATCAAACTTTCCTTCATACACGATCAGATAGCCTTGTAAAGAGAGCAAATGACAACGCAATGATCAGATAGGTTGCTGCACTAAAATAAATCAGCGAGCAAAGGCAGAGTATCAACTTAAATATAAAATATCAACGCTAGTGCTGATAGCAAGATTTAGCAGCAGTGCTGGTGAAGTAAAGAAGTCAAAGGTCAAAATCTGTCTCATAATCATATCTAAAAAAAATATTACCCCGATAGTTCGCCATCGGTCTCAGGTCAGCAGAAAATTTTTTGGCGAAGGTTTATGAATACCTCGAGAAGTCTGACTGTGTAATGACCATCGCCCTTGCGGTGGCCTGAAAAACCATACGGCAACTGCGATGACAAAAGATTTACTTTGTTACACGTGCTTTAACTCGGGTGAGCTTGCTGAATAGCTGGGACGGTACAAAATGTGGAAAAAAAAACTAAAAAGTCCCCTTGCAAAGCAATTATCATATAGATATCTAGATATTTTGGTTTATAATTGCAGAATCGGTCACAGTAGTATTATAACTACAGAGGTGAATCATTACACGATATCAAACTACGTATACAAATACACTTAAATTTGTTTTGAAAATGGTGGATGAATGACCTTATGTTATTCGCCTGTATTTACCTGTGAAAAGCTGATTTCTTTTGAGGTTGGCAGAAACAGATAGGGACCGCTTTAAAGCCGATAAGGAGTAAGTTTGGAATCAAAAGATTCCCTTCCTTTGCAAGCTGGTATTACAAAGTGTCAACCATTCAGTTTTGGCGCGAAAATATTCGTGACAAGTGGTGCCGCTTGCTTATCACGCAATATTTACAGTCGCACGCTCTCTCTTAAAGAACAAGGGTTTCTCTGCTCGAAAGACTTAAACTGCAGTTATAGAAATTTGAATAGGAGGTCCTCGACTGAGTGTTCTTATCTGCTGGTAGGACTTTCGCTCATCGAGAAAAACTTAAGATATTGCCCCAGAGCCACTAGTTGAAGACGAAAAAAAACCAACACGTTCATTTTTCCTTCTCTATTTTATTTCAGTAAATAAACCTGTTCGTGAAACCTAAACGTAGGTAATACTACACCACAATTCTGACCAAGCTTTTGGCTGCCAACTAAATAATAAATGCTTCTCTAGTATAGGTTTCTTTCCAGTGAATCTTTTACTCCATAAATCAAAAGTCATCATAGCGACTTCACTGTCATTTCTCATTAAGCGCAGCGAAAAGGTACGCATGTTTTTCGAAATTCACTACTTTCGGAAGTTTTATTTTGGGTAGAAAACTGATGCAACAAAATATTGTTTGTTAATCTGGCGGTAAAAAAGAAAATACCGTTATGAAAACTTAACTGGAGAACAGTAGAACTCTTTCCAGTGAATTTCCAGTGAATCTTTCCAGTGAATCTTTTACACCATAAATCAACTGTAATTGTAGCGACTTCACTGTCATTTCTCATCAAGCGCAGCAAAAAGGTACGCATGTTTTTCGAAATTCTCTACTTTCGCCAGTTTTCTTGGGTAGAAAATTGATGCAAAAAAATATATTATTTGTCAATCTGGCGATAAAAAAGAAAATACCGTTATGACAACTTAAATGTAGAACAGCAGAACTCTTTGCTTTTCCAAGCGGGAAAACGGGACAACGATTCAATTTATAGGATGAAGAATAAGCCTTTATTTAGGACAGCAAAGAATGCTATCGAGAAACTATTACCAACATTTATATGATGTTCCCTACTGCGAAGGATAACGATTTTCTGCAATTTATATACTATTAGCTGATAAACTAAGTTAAACTATAAAGCATTTCAAGCCTTTTTGGCCTTTGACTCTGTTGTTTTCTGAGTAAAGGTCCATGTGGTCTTCAAAAGGTTATAAGGTATTCAGGGTAACACTGATTATCAAAGAAAACAACAAATTTGCTGGGGCTTGATTGGTCATCTACCACAGAATCGTAAAGAATTTCAGGTTTTGATGGATTTTTCGGTGGAGGCACAAACATTGAAGAATCTCCAACACAATACTGCCCCACGAGGACCTTGGCAAGGTACATGTGGCGACCTCCATGACCACCAACCCCAGCGAATCCAACAGAGTATTGAGCGTCTCTAGCAAAATAAACACCGCGTCCATAGACCGTGCCTGAAAAAAAGAATGCTTAATTAAGAGAAAAAGTACCAAAAAATCATACATTCGGTGAAGTTATTTGTTATGAAAGAGGCAGTTGGATTCTCCTCATATTATTACAGCTTTTATTACCATATTTGGCTCCAAATAGTGATTCGGCCAGAGCTCGTGCAACGTCTGAGTGACTTGGTAGGACAGACAGACAAATAAATGAAAAGAATTGTGGCCAAAACACCATTAGTTTAGCCAAAGAATGATTTAACCCTTTAAACTCTAAGAGTGACTAGCATCTAACTACTCCCTGCAATAACAATCTTAAATCACACATGAAGGTCATGAGAATAAAGGAAATGGTCACTAAAGAAGGAACCTTTTCATTAGCGAACAAATTCTCTGTTTCAGCACCTTAGGAAATGTTTAAAGAACAGTATGGAGAATATGCATACTGATGTTAGGGTGTAAAAGGTTTACTACTTAGGACCAATCGCTCGAAAATATTGCCTTAATGCTCCTTTTTCTCACGCGAAGCTTTCGAAAGTAATGATCCTAGCAGTATCTGGAAGGCGTGCTACATATTAGCAACTTGAATACCCTGCTCATCAAAGCGTCTGTAGCTCAATGGTAGAGCGTTGGAACGAGGAAATCCGAAGGCCTGAGGATCGATTTCTCATAAGCAAACGAAATTTTTTCCTTAATCCCACCCCCGTGACGGGATGATAAAACGTTTCCTTGCGTTTCAATGACTTACCATTAGCCCCACAGAGGCTCCTGTTGAATCCTTGTGTGTTGATATGGTTGATATTTTTAGCATCCGTCCCATGAAACAGCTCTCTTTCATAATTTCCTCCAATATCTTTATCCATTTTCTGTTTTCTTACCATGTAAGACTGATACAGATGAGGATTCTGTATGCGTTCAATCTTCTGAACTTTTAACGCACCGGCTGTAGCTTGAAACTTACCTACGACATCTTGATACTCAGGGGAGCCGGGGTGCAATTTTACTTTATGTACTGTAGAGTCATGCTCGGGCATTGGTGCCCAGTGCTTTGGTAGAGGAATTCCTACAGAAAGGACCAAAAGATTAGAATGTTGAAGTGAAAACCCATCTACCGAGGTCAAATTTCAACAACCAAGTAGATTTTTCAAGCAAGACACAAACAAGATCAACAAGGAAGCTCATGAGAGACATTATAGGGCAGCTTTTCTGAATATTCCCAATCTGTACAACATGTTTATAACCTTAAACGTCCCCTGGTGCATGAAATATCTCTTAGTCCTTTCTTACGGACTTAAGGTTATCGAAACATCTTCATCAAAAGAGATGCATAGCAACTAACCTTCATCAGCACCCTTCACCTTTCTTGTCAGTGTTATTTGTTCACCAGACGTTTGTCCACGTCCAGAGTTTCCCTTCAAGTCGATGACAAACTTTTCTGCGCGTAGAGAAACTTGCACTGTGTGCTCATCTCTGCTGTGGGCCAACTCAATCTTGGCATTTGCTTTCGGAGCAAACTCTATTTTTATGCCCTGTATCTCATAGCTCCACTCTACGTTCTTTGAAAGCAACTTCGCTTGTTCTTCCTCCTGTTTCTTCTTCATCCTCTCGTTGATCTCTTTCCAGATCTCCCCGACTATTCCAGCCACTTCGGTTGGTCCACCACAAACGACAATGCGATCTGCGTCACCCTCAATTTCAAGTTTGACGTCACAGTCTTTAGCCTTTTTTCTCAGGATATCCTTCTGCTTATCGGAAAGCTGACTGACGACGTCACATTCGACTTCTTTTATTGTACAAGCTTCAGAGAAACCTTTCTTCAAGGATTCCACGGCTTTTCCCACGCCCACCTTGTCTTTGCCAATCACAGAAATTCTTACAGAATATTCATCACTTTGGCCTATTGCCTGCCTATGTCCGCGTCTTCTGGTTTGCCTAGCCGCTGCATTCTCTGAGTCACTGTCTTCTTCAATATCTTGCACTGGTTGTTTCTGCTCTTGTAGAAACTCCTGCATCATAGAGGCCTGGAACACAACTACTCTTACTTTTTGAATATTTTTACAGCGGGCGCTGAATGCGTTTAGTGCTTTGAACGTCAGTTGGGCTGAGTCCGCTCCGTTCAAGCCGTATCCTCCTGTGCCAACACACGGAATTGAGATCGCTTGAAAGTTATTGCCATCCGCCACACGAAGACCCTCCTCCAAACATTGCTGGAGATGTTGCTTATCTGAGGAGCCTGGAATGATGTGAATAATATGAGGTACTTGTAAATTACCTCCGCTGGTCATTATCGCTGTTCCAGGAGGCTGCTTTCCCAATTTGTTGCATTCTTGTTGCACAAGTGGACCACTCTGTCTTGCTATGGCTTTGCTTAGGTCTCCGGCGTTATTCATGTTCATGTCCGTGCTCAGAATGTTCACGATAGCATCAGTACCGTTCTCTTGAGTCAAATCACCATTTACCAAATCGACTGTCAAATGTGAGTTGCCAATTTGCTTGGGTTGCAGTTTTTCCATCTCTTGTTTGAAGGCGGCAGTTAATGCTTGATCTTGGTTAAACACAACAAATCGGATGTCCCGTAAATTAGAATCAGGGTTGGCTCGGCAGAAATTGACTGTTTCTTCCAACATGATTCTCGACGCTGTATCACGTGGGAATTGTAGTTTTCCAGTTCCAATGACAGGAAATGCAATGGAGTTGGCTCCAAGCGTTTCACCTGTTTGCAGACACTTTTGAACGATGGCCCTTAGCGTCTACAACAGATGAAATAGAAGTTGTTGAATGTTGGTGGCACGGACAGTTGGTGGCAAGATGGGACCTGGTAAATTCCCTTATTCCTATGTGATCTCAATAAAAATTCTCCACACTGTGTTCTGTACATTTCTTATGAACTTGGCAGTCAAAATTTGGCCTTAAGTCATGCAATATCCCCTCGTTGATATTTTTTACCTCTGTCCGTCACCATTCTGGTTGATGATGAACTGATAATGGGAGGAGAAAAAACTGACTGGCCGCTCCTTAAAGTAAAAAGATTAAAAAACTGAATCCCTTTCAAGCTATTTTTAGTCTTCCTGGAATCTGTTTTCCGGGGATCAAAGTTACCTAAACCTTGAACTTTATTAACATTTTTCAGAGGATAATGAGAGGGCCCCAGGTAGGATGTTTACACAAATAGCATTTTCTTTTGGGATCAGGATCGGAAATGTTTGGATAACAACCTCACCGAAAGTAGTTTAGTAGTGAAATTTCACATCTCAATTTGTTTTTTTTTCCTAGCAAGATCTTTGCTCTTACCAATTCTACAAAATTTCTAAGAAGGAGTTTCATATGATATTAGAAGTTGCAAGTTACATTAGGCAATAATCCTGTCGTTAAATATTCGATTGATCATTCTGGAAGAATTCGGAGAGGAGTGAGGTAAACTACATCGGAAATATCTAAAATCGAGCCTGAGTAGTCTCCAGTTGCTTTAACCTACAACAGAATGGATAGGCTTCGCCAGATGGGCATCCAACATCGTTTAGCAAAATCTTACAGCAAATATAAACAATGATGCGATGTATTTAAGAGAGGTCCTTACCGGCTCCCCTCCACCGTTTTTCCACTTACAACATTGAGTGTGAATCACATGACTGACTGAGGAAAAACCACCTGAGACAGTGATGTCACCAACGTTGGGGGTTGCGGCCTGAGGACCACCGGCATCAATGATTGCTTGATCGCATGCTCCTAGAGAACTGACAAGTACTTCAGCCTGAAATACACAACCAAAAAATGTTGATGATTTATTAATGGTGGACTGTTGTCGTTATCAGACGTGGCACTCTCAATAAGAGAGACGTTGAATAATGTAACCACAGTCTAAGAGCAGACGAGAGCTAAGTGAAGAACTAAAATCGATTCATATACCAACATGATCCTCAAAGGTATTTCCGTGAGATATTCTCCATGTGTATAGAAATCAGTGTCAATCCTACCTTCTCTGCCCCTATGTCTCCAGGTTTCCAGGACACTCTGTGCCTTTGAGCTATTACCAGGGTAGACGAGTCAGTTTCATTGATGGTAGGGTGGTCATCCTCAGCATCATCGTCGCTGTCGCCTGAAGAGGTAGAAGCGTCGGATACGGTTTCGAGGCGCAACTCCTCGTCTCTTCCTCCTCCACCTAACTTTTTCTTGACTTCTATGGCACAATCTTGATCTTTTTCCACCGATTTTACAAGCTGATCTCCTTTTCCACTGTCAAAATATTTTCGAAGGCCTGGCTGTTTCACTTCAAAGGTTTTCAACTCAGTAGAATCTATCAGAGCGTCGAGCTTCTCTCCCACACGATTCAAACCCTCTATGTTTCCAGAAATAATAAAATCATCATCGTCTTTTCCCTTTTTAATACTCACTACAAAATCTTTTAGTTGATTTTCTATGGTGTGTAGATCTTCTTGACGTAGCTCAAGAAGATACCTTCGCATAAAATCAGACGTGCACAAAAAACGTTCTTCCCTAATGCAATTGTTTTCAAGAAAGGTATTTAACTTCTTTATCACTTCGGTCACGTCATCGCGAAACCCAACTACGTATACATCGTTCCAGTTGTTCCTACGGACACGGGCAGTCGTTTTGTTCATCTCGTCACAAAACTTCAGCCATTTAGATGACTTCAAAAAATGCTTGCTCTTCTCGTCCACTTGAATTTTCTCTTCCACCGTCAACTTGTTCACGAGCCTTGCCGCGTTGTCTGCATGCGCTGCTGAGGACCCCACTATAGTAGCGTCTTTCTCAACAACGAACACTGCTTCCACGTTGTTTCTTTCCAACTCACATTTGACAGTCTGTAGCCCTTCATCTGAGACTAAAATCTCCAGGATGTTGTCAGATAAAGTCAGTTTCTTCTCGACCATATTAGCCATTTGTTGATAGAACTTCGTGGTTCCTCTAGTTAACTGTGGCTGGAGACCTTCGAAATATATTTCTTCACCTTCAGTATCAAACTTGATCTTCAAATCCTTGTTCTCTTCTTGGAGTTTCTCGGCAAATTTTATCTTCTGCAGCAAAATTAAGCGCTCCTCGGGAACATCTGAAATTTTCTTCTTAAAGTAAGCTTTTCGGGTCTCCTTAGTCTTCTGGCTCACTCGAGATTCATTGACCCCGGTTGCAGTAGCTTCTATGTCACCGGAATCCTCGGCTCCATCAACGTCATCGTCTTCTAGAAACTCTCGGTAAGCTTTAATTGACAGCTGGGTTTTGTCAAACTTATGAGGTTTCTTTTCATGTCTGGTTAACACCCTTTCCATATCTGTTGATTGAAGCAACTAAGTGTCAAGAATTTCCTTGAGGAAGTTGTTTGTCGTTTCACAACACTTCATGACTCTTTAACTTGAGAGAGACGCACAGACTTAGAGCGATGGGGTTATTGGGGCAGAATAGTTCAACCATTCAATCAAGCAATCAAACAAACAATCAATCAATCGATCAATCAAATAAATGAACAACCAATCCATCAATTAATCAATTACTGATTTGTCAAATATACAGCTCAAATCAGTGCAACCAATATTTACTACACATGTATGAGGATCAGATGACGATTACTCGTGCCTGAAGGAATTACTTATATCTTAGAGATCAATGAGTTACAGACCTTTGGCGTCTTGAAACACAACCACAGCTCGACCACTTTTAGGAACATAGTCAACCTTCTCCACAGGACCCCCACCGTTTCGAGGACTCTCAAAGTACAGTTCAATAAAATCATGCGTAATGCCTGAAAAGCCTGTGACAAGGATGCTTTTGCAAAGCGGGACTTGTTGAATGGAAACCTTTGCATCATCTAGACCTCTTTCCTCGCATTTAGTCTTTATTTCTGTGAAATCTAAAGAAAACAGATTAAATTCTCAATAAATGTTTGTCTTGTGCGATCTCCACTTTTGGAGTCTTCCTGAGAGGAACAACACTCATTGAATTACTTGTACAATTCCCAAATAAATTGATTTCTTTGATCTGGATTATTTTGATTGTTTGGAGAAGAAAATCGAAATGTCTTTAAATGGTGGGACACCTAAAATAAGGCATCTTAATTCTTCAGGCAGTAGTTAAGCATAAAACAGTTTTAATCAATGAAAAGTTAATTTCATATAATTTGAAGTAAGTTCATTGCTTAAAACTGAGAGCATGAAACTGAGCCGGCGTGAGCTTTCATCTCCGATAACTCGCGAACGGATCAACGAAGTACGATAAAGAAATTCCTGCTAACTCTCCAAATTCAATTGAAAGGTACGTACCTTTGATTTCATCAGCCATGGTGACCAAGGCTTTTCCATTCTTCAGCATCTGTACGTCCTTCACCTCTTTCCCGCCACTCCTTGCCTCGATAAAGTTCACCAGTCCGTCCGGGAAAGTTTTCTCACTCAGCCCTCGTATGAGTATTTTATTTCTTTCAAATTGAGACTGATCAGCAGGCCCCTCTTCCACCACACTGGACATGCGCTGTGCTGATGTTGTGAGGAGGAAAACCAACGATTTAAGTAGGGTTAGATAAATTATGCCGGTGTAATTTTGGGCATGATGCCACAGTTACGGAGCATCAAACATAATGCCGGTATAGCGAATAAAACTTATTCAAAAATCTCTTGATGCTACAGTTCAACAAGAGATTAATTCTTTAGCTTGAGTTAAGTCAACAATGATTCTGCTTTTTTTGTTTGAACTTTAAGAATTTGATCCAGAGATATGTTTTGATCTAAACTAAACCTTTTACTCTCAGCAAGCTTTACCTTTCGGTGATAGGATTGGAGAAGGAGATTGAGGGGCTCGTAAAAGCTAAGCTATTATTACTAATTATTGTCTTTAATGATGACGCTCAAAAGTATACTGCTCAAATTTTTTAGTATAATTTATTTGACCCTTGATTAAAGTAGAGAGCACAACCACTCGTGTTCATTTCATTCCGAGATCAAGAGATTGAAGATATCTTGATATGCCTGAATAGAGAAGACGGCAACTCCAAGCGTCTACTTCGTTTCATATTTAGGGAGCTTTTTTGTAAGGCATACGGTGCATTTGATATTATTTTTTTCTTGATTATTTTACATTTTTCCGTCGAGGAAAAATGACTTTTTCTGCTGATTAAAGCAAGCTCGGACAGCAATATTTATTTCATGGTGAAAATGCCGAAGTGATAGTGGGTGAAGGTAATTACAGGATAATAATTATTGGACTTCCGGTTTAAGTCGAGCAAATAACATGGGGAATGTCCCTCCGATGAGCAAAGGGAAAAAATGTTTTTCGGCGCAGACCCAAAGGATAATGATTTATCAACCAGTAACTTTGAGGATTCTCTCATCTTGAGAAACATAATTCCTTAATTATGAAGTTTTTCGATGCCCTGTTTCCCTAAAGTGTGCTTGCATCAGAAATTTACTGGTACAAACAATTGCTTCCACATGCTTCGGCCCTTCGAGATTGTTGTGCTTAATATTTTGCAAATTTCTCAAATCATACACATTGAAGCAACGAGCAACAATTGCACCTTTCACGTTGTTTCTTGAACTAAAATTATCATAAAACTTCGAGAAATTTGCGAAGTCATGAACTCAAGCCCCAGTGCAGTGTTGCTCAAATACAATCTCTATCATATGCAAGCTAAATATGTCTCGATCGGTCGCTTTGACGCAAGATTCTACTAGATTACACTCTAAATCCATTTATCAGTAATCTTATACCTAAAACAAGAAGTACAAAATTTTCTGTCGAACAATCACGAGTGCAAACGCTCGTATAAGTACACAAAAATATCATCGGTTTGGTTTCGATTTGCATTCATTGCAAATTGCAATGGAGGATCCTTACCGTAATGTGAGTCTTTGTCAGCCATTATTGGTGCAAGCTTGAAACTTGTCCTTGGTGACTTGCAGAATTAGCGAATGCTGAAATAGAATAAAATGATCTTTGTAACCGCTTACTCAAAGACTACAGTGCAAATGAAAACGGTAGAAAGTAAGAGTATGTCGCAATTTCAATCGCAAATATTTTAAGTTTGTTATGAATCACAGAAGGCAGCTTCATCTCTAAAGCTGTAGAAGATTTGTCTTTTTATCAAGTAGTTAACAATAGCAGTCATATATCACTTTTGAGGCGCTTAGGGAGAATTATTTGCTCGTATTTTCTAGTACAAAGCCAGACATTGTTCCGCTCGCGAGGACTTGTGTTACCTGATACATCCCTGAAAATTCTGAGAAATTATCGATGCGTTCGATCACGGATTACACCAGGATAATGCACAAGGAATCCAGATAACTCACCGTCAATCTTTACCGTTTTTCAAGCGAGGATTCCTCTTCCTTTCCCGACAGAAACACTGTCATAAAATAACTCGTTCGAATGCACTGCACTTTTACTTTGTACGAAACCGTACTTCCGATTCGGCTTTCTTGAGAAGACCGTGAGGGGAAAAAGAGGCTGGGAGCAAGCCAAATTGGGAATTCCCTTTCCGGGTGATACGTGTGAATCCAATTATTTCAGCAATGTTTTTAATACATGGAGAATGACAAAACAGCGTAATTAAATTTTACTTCTCTTATAAACGATGAAAAACCAAGAGAGGAATATTCTATTGTCGTTTACTATGTGGTTAAGATTTCAAATGTAACTTTGTAAACAGTCTTTACTTTAACTGTGTAATAACCATCGCCCTTGCGATGGCCAGAAAATCATACGGCAAATGACACAAGATTCACTTTGTTATAGGTGCTCTCAGTCGGGTTGGCTTGCTGACAAGCTGGGAGGGTACCAAAGGTAAGAAAAAGACTAAACAGTCCCCTTATAAAGCGATTATTAAATTAATATCTAGATTTCGCTTATAATTGCAGAATCGATCACAATAGTATTATTACTACAGAGGTAAATCATTACACGATATCAAACCACAAATACACTTATCTTTGTTTTGAAAATGGTGGATGAAGTGTCAACTTTTCAGTTTTGACGCGAAAATATTCGTGACAAGTGAAGCCGCTTGCTTGTCACGCAACATTTACAGTCGCACAGTCTCTGTACAAAAACAAGGGTTACACTACTCGGAAGACTTATTCGACCGACTGTTCTTATCTGCTGGTAGGGCTTCCTCTCCCTCACTCGTTCATCGCGAAAAACTTAAGATATTGCCACAGAGCCACAAGTTGAACACGGAAAAAAACCAACACGTTAATTTTTATTCCTCTATTTTATTTCAGTAAATAAATCTGTCCGTGAAACCCGAACGCAGGTAATACTATGCCACAATTCTTATCAAGCTATTGGCTGCCAACTAAATAATAAATGCTTCTCTAAGTTTCTTTCCGGTGAATCTTTTACACCATAAATCAAATGTCATCGTAGCGACTTCACTATCAATTCTCATTAAGCACAGGAAAAAGGTACACATGTTGTTCGAAATTCTCTACTTTCGCTAGTTTCTTGGGTAGAAAATCGATGCAAAAAAAATATTATTTGTCAATCTGGCGATAAAAAAGAAAATACCGTTGTAAAAACTTAACTTGAGAACAGCAGAACTCTTTGCTTTTCCAAGCGAGAAAACGGGACAAGCGCGAGGTGAACGCGTGGGCGAGGAACGCGACTATGTCATGGTCACCTCGCACGCCTCGCGTTTCCCTACGCTGTAGGCTAGTGGTAACTCCACTGTAGTGATAAAACGCGTTCAGCTAGATTTTACTTTGTTTGGCATTCAAGGATATAATCATTCAATTTATAGGATGAAGAATAAGCTTTGAGTTAAGACAGTTAAGAATTCTATCGAGAAACTATTACCAACATTTATATGATGTTCCCTAGTCTGTGGAGGATAACTATTCTCTGCAATTTATATAACTGATAAACTAAGTTAAACTATGAAGCTTTTCAAGCTTTTTTGGCCTTTAACTCCGCCATTTTCTGAGTAAAAGGTCCATGTGGTCATGAAAAGGTTATAAGGTATTCAGGGTAACACTGATTATCAAAGAAAACAACAAAGATGCTGGGGCTTGATTGGTCATTTACCACAGAATCGTAAAGAATTTCAGGTTTTGATGGATTTTTTGGTGGAGGCACAACCATTGAACGATTCCCAACACAATACTGCCCAACGAGGACCTTGGCAAGGTACATGTGACGACTTCCATAACCAACACCCCCAGCGTAATTAACAGAGTATTGAGCGTCTCTAGCGAAATAAACACCACGTCCATAGACCGTGCCTGAAAAAAATGCTAAATTTAGAGAAAAAATATCAACAAAATCATGATACATTTAAAGAGGTTATTTTTTACAAAAGAGGCAATTGTATTATTCTTCTATTATTACATCTTTCGTTACCAATTTTTGGCTCCAAAGTGTGATTCGGCTAGAGTTCATGCAACGTCTGGGTGACTTGATGGGACATGTAGATGCCTTAACTGGTCAAGATTAATCGCTTGAAAGTATTGCTTTAATTCTCCTTATTCTCACACGAAGCTATCGAAATTAATTATCCTTGCAGTATGTGAAAAGCCTGTTAATCATAGAGTCTGTAGCTCAATGGTAGAGCATTGGAACGAGGAAATCTGAAGGTTTGAAGTTCGATTCCTCTTAAGTACTGGAAAGTTTTTCTTTAATCCCTCCCGTGACGAGACGATAAAAATTCTCCTCTATTTAAAATTTCAATGACTTACCATGAGCCCCACAGAAGCTTCTGTTGAATCCTTGTGTGTTGATATGGTTGATGTTTTTAGCATCAGTTCCATGAAACAGCCGTCTTTCACTATTGTCTCCCGTATCTTTATCCATTTTCTGTTTTCGTACCATGTAAGACTGATACAGATGAGGATTCTGTACGCGTTCAATCTTCTGAATATTTAACGCACCGGCTGTGGCTTGAAACTTGCGCACGACATCTTGATACTCAGGGGAGCCTGGGTGCAGTTGTACTTTATGTGCAGTAGAGTCATGGCCGGGCATTGGTGCCCAGTGCTTTGGTAAAGCAATTCCTACAAAAAGGACCGAAAAATTAGAATGTTGAAGTGAAAACCCAACGGCTGATGTTAAATTTCAAGATCCAGGTATAATTTTCAGGTAAGAAACATACAAGATCAACAAGAAATCTTATTAGGTACATTTTTGGACGGCTTTTCTGAATATCCCCTGCGTTTATTACATGTTTATTACCTTAAATGTCCTCTAGGAAATGAAATATCTTAGTCCTTTCTTATCTAAACATTCTTGTCAAAAGAGATGTATAGCAACTAACCTTCATCAGCACCCTTCACCTTTCTTATCAGTGTTATTTGTTCACCAGACGTTTGTCCAAGTCCAGAGTTTCTCTTCAAGTCGATGACAAACTTGTCTCCGCGTAAAGAAACTTGCACTGTGTGATCGTCTTTGCTGTGGGCCAGCTCAATCTTGGCATTTTCTTTCGAAGCAAATACCACTTTTGTGCCCCGTATTTCATAGCTCCACTCTACGTTCTTTGAAACCAACTTCGCTTGCTCTTCCTCCTGCTTACTTTTCGTCCTCTCGTTGATCTCTTTCCAGATCTCCCCGACCATTCCAGATACTTCGGTTGGTCCACCACGAACAACAATGCGATCCACGTCATCCTCAATTTCAAGTTTGACGTCACGGTCTTTAGCTTTTTTCCTCAGGATATCCCTCTGCTTATCGGAAAGCTGACTGACGATTTCACTTTCGACTTTTTCCATTGTACAAGCGTCAGAAAAACCTTTCTTCAAGGATTCCATGGCTTTTCCCACGCTCACCTTGTCTTTGCCGATCACAGAAATTCTTACAGAATGCTCGTCACTTTGGCCTAGTTCCTGCCTACGTCCGCGACTTCTGGTTTCTCTGGCTGCTGCATTCTCTGAGTCACTATCTCCTTCGTTACCTTGCACTGGTTGTTTCTTCTGTTCTTGTAGAAACTCCTGCATCATAGAGGCCTGAAACACAACCACTCTTACTTTCTTAGTATTTTTACAGAAGGTACTGAATGCGTTTAGTGCTTTGAACGTCAGCTGGGCTGAATCCGCTCCATTCAAGCCGTATCCTCCTGTGCCAATGCACGGAATTGAGATTGCTTGAAAGTAATTGGCGTCGGCAACACGAAGACCCTTCTCCAAACATTTCTGGAGATGCTCCTTATCTGAGGAGCCTGGAATTATGTGAATAATATGAGGTACTTGTAGATTACCTCCGCTGGTCATTATCGCTGTTCCAGGAGGCTGCTTTCCCAATTGGTTGCATTCTTGTTGCACTAGTGGACCACTCTGTCTTGCTATGGCTTTGCTTAGGTCTCCGGCGTTATCCATCTTCATGTCCGTGCTAATGATATTCATAATAGCGTCAGTGCTGTTCTCCCGAGTCAAATCACCATTAACCACCTCAACATTAAGAGGGCTAGTGAAGGTAAAAGTCGTGATGGCAGAGTGACCAATGTGCTTGGGTTGCAGTTTGTTCATCTCTTGTTTGAAGGCAGCAGTTAATGCTTGATCTTGGTTAAACACGACAAATCGGATGTCCCGTAAATTAGAACCAGGGTTGGCTCGGCAGAAATTGACTGTTTCTTCCAACATGATTCTCGACGCTGTATCACGTGGGAATTGAAGGTTTCCAGTCCCAATGACAGGAAATGCAATGGAGTTCGCTCCAAGCGTCTCGCCTGTTTGCAGACACTTTTTAACGATGGCCCTTAGCGTCTATAAAAGATGAAATAGAAGTCGTTGAATGTGGTGGTAAGAGGGGATCTAAAGAATCCTTTCACTCCAACGTGATCTCAATAGCAATTCTCCACACTGTCTTCTGATCATTTCTTGTGAATTTGGCAGTCAAAACTTGGCGTTAAGTCATGCAATATCCCCTTATTGATATATTTTCCTTTTCCCCGTCACCTTTCTAGTTGATAATGCAGTGATAATGGAAGGAGAAAAAAAAACTGACTGGTCACTCCTTAAAGTAAAAAGGTTAAAAAAATGAATCCCTGTGAATGAATATCTGATCCTTGAATTTTACTAACATTTTCCAGATGATAATAAGAAGGCGCCATGTAGGATGTTCATACAAGTAGCATTTCCTTTTGGGATCAAGGTCGAGGATGTTCGGATTAGGGCCTCATGGAAATTACCTTTGGGATTGGGTCTAATTAATTTTTTCTTAGTGGTGAAAATTTCACATCTCAATTTGTTTTTTCCAGTAAGATCTCCGCTCTCGCTAATTCTACAAAATTTCTGATTCAGATTTTCGAATGATATTAGATATTGAAAGTTACTGTATGCAATAATCCTGTCGTTATATATTCGATTGATCATTCTCGAAGAATTCGGTGAGGAGTGAGGCTTTCCCCCTGAGATTGCTTCGGCCTGATAAACATGACGGAATGTTTGAAGATAACATACAGCGGAAATAACATCAACTCGAGCCTGAACAGTCTTCAGTTGCTTTATGTTACAACAAAATGCATGGGATTCGCCAGTTGGGCATCCGATATCGTGTAGGCTTTCATCAAATCTAAACAATAAATACTCTTCGAGAGGTCTTTTCCTTCAAAAGTGAACTAATACTTAATTATGTACGTACAATTCACTGTTTCTTACCGGCTCTCCTCCACCGTTGTTCCATGTACAACAGTTAGTGTGAATCACGTGGCTAACCAAGGAAAAACCACGTGAGACAGTGATGTCACCAACGTTGGGGGCTACGGCCTGAGGACCACCAGCATTAATGATTGCTTGATCGCATGCTCCTTGAGAACTGACAAGTACGTCAGCCTAAAATACACAGTCAAAAAAATAATGTTAATGATTCATTAACTTCTTCAATATGGTGTACTGTTGTCGTTATCAGACTTGGCATTCTCAGTAAGAGAGACGTTAAATCATGTAACCACAATCTACCAGCACATGAGAGCTAAGTGAAAAACTAAAATCTATAAATTTGCCTACAAGATCCTCTAAGGTATTTTCATGAGATGTTCTCCTGGTGTGAAGAAATCAGTGTCAATCCTACCTTCTCTGCCTCTATCTTTCCAGGTTTCCACGACACTCTGTGTCTTTGGGCTATTACCAGGGTAGACGGGTCAGTTCCAGCAGTGGTAGCGTGTTCATCCTCAACATCATCGTCCCTGTCGCCTGAAGAAGTAGAGTCGTTAGATACGCCTTCGAGGTGCAGCTCTTCGTCCTGTCCTCCTCGACCGAAACTTTTCTGGACTTTTATGGCACAATCTTGTTCTTTTTCCACCGATTTTACCAGCCGATCTCCTTTTCCGCCGTCAAAAAAATTTCGAAGGCCTGGCTGTTTCACTTCAAAGGTTTTGAAATCAGTGGAATTCATCAGAGCGTCGATCTTCTTTCCTACACGTTTCAAGCCCTCTGTGTTTCCAGAAATGACGAAATCATCATTGTCTTTTCCCTTTTTAATACTCACTACAAAATCTTTTAGTTGATTTTCTATGGTGCGTAGATCTTCTTGACGTAGCTCAAGAAGATACCTTCGCATGATATCAGACCCGCACACAAAACGTTCCTCCTCTATGCGATTGTTTTTAAGAAAGGCATTTAACTTCTTTATCACTTCGGTCACGTCATCACGAAACCCAGCTACATATGTATCGTTCCAGTTGTCCCTCCGCACACGGACAGCCGTTTGGTGCATCTCGCCACATAACTTCAGCCATTCAGATGACTTCAACAAATGCTTGCTTTTCTCGTCCACTTGAACTTTCTCTTCCACCATTAACTTGTTCACGACCTTCGCCGCGTTGTCTGCATGTGCTGCTGAGGATCCCACTATGGTGGCGTCTTTCTCAATAACCAACACTGCTTCCACGTTGTTTCTTTCCAACTCACATTTGACAGTTTGAAGCCCTTTATCTGAGTTTAAAATATCCAGGATGCTGACGGATAAAGTTACTTTCTTCTCAACCATGTTTTTCATTAGTTTCTCGAACTCCATGGTTGCCTCAGTAAATTGTGGCTGGGGACCTTCGAAATATATTTCTTCACCTTCAGTATTAATCTTGATCTCCAACTCCTTGTTCTTTTCTTGGAGTTTCTCGGTAAATTTTATCTTCTTCAGTAAAATTAAGCGCTCCTCGGGAACATCTGCAATTTTCTTCGTCAAGTAGGTTTTTCTGATCTCCTCGCGGTAGATTTCTTCCAACTTTGACCTCACCTTTTCCTCGTTACTTTTCACATCTGCTTTTAATGAAATGATCCTAGCAACATTTGATTCAGGAATAGTCTTGACCAGCGGGGGATCAACTCCCAAGCAGGTGCGAATGCTGGGAACTTTTGCTACAACGGCTTCCCAGAAATCCTTGTTGACCTGCACATCGCACTTCGCAAACTTGCTGAGGTAATTTTGTACTTGGTCAATGCATTCAGATTGCCATGAATCACTGTCATCTTCCCCACGGTACACTATTAGAGCAATTTTGTCGTTGGGTTTCCAGGTGATTTCGCTTTTCTCTCCAGTCAGCGAATTGTTTAGTTCAGCTTGGAATCCTGTGAATGTAACGTATTCCATAACATCGGGATCTACAGGCATGTGCAGCCGTTGTGCTTTAGCATCAGGTTTCTGGCTCACTCGAGATTCACTGGCCGCGGTTGCAGTAGCTCCTAAGTCACCGGAATCCTCTGCTCCATCAACCTCTTCGTCTTCTAAAAACTCTCGGTAAACTCTAATTGACAGCTGGGTTTGTTCAAACTCATGAGGTTTTTCTTCATGTCTGGTTAACACCCTTTCCATATCTATTGATTAAAGCAACGAAGTGTCAGGAATTTCCCTGAAGAAGTTATTTGTCGTTTCACAACACTTCATGACACTTTAACTTGAGAGAGATGCACAGATTAAGGACGATGGGGTGGTTGGGGTAGAGTAGGTCAATAAATCAATCAATCAAGCAATCAATCAATCAAGCAAGCAATCAATCGATCAATCAATCAATCAAGCAATCAATCGATCAATCAACGATCACCAATTTGTCCTTCTCTAAGTCTAATGTACTGCTCAAGTCTTAAACCGTGAGAACCAATATTTGCTACATATGTTTGAGGATCAGATGTCGATTATTCGTGCCTGAAGGAATTACACTGTACATATATTTTAAAGATCAATGATTTACAAACCTTTTGCGTTTTGAAACACAACCACAGCTCGACCACTTTTAGGAACATAGTCAACCTTATCCACAGGACCCCCTCCGTTTCGACGACTCTCAAAGTACAGTTCAATAAAATCATGGGTAACGTCTAAAAAGCCAGTGACAAGGATGCTTTTGCAAACCGGGACTTGTTCGATGGAAACCTTTGCGTCATCCAGACCTCTCTCCTCGCATTTGGTCTTTATTTTCGTGAAATCTAAAGAAAACAGATCACATTCTCAAAAAATGTTTGTCTTGTGTGATCTCCACTTTTTGAGTCTTCCTGAAAGGAACAACACTCTTTAAATTACATGTACAGTTCCCAAATAAATTTATTTCTTTTATCTGGGTTGTTTTGATAGTCTGAGGAAGAAAATCGAAAGGTCTTAAATAAGATACCTTAATTCTTCAGGTACTTATAAAGCATACAACAATTTTAATCAATGAAAAGTTAGTTTCATATAATGTAAGGGTAACTTCATTGCTTGAAGCTGAGAGGATGAAATTGAGGCGGCGCTAGCTTTCATCCCTGATAATTCACTAACATATCAAAGAAGTACGATGGAGAAACTCCTGCTTACTCTCCAAATTCAATTGAAAGGTACCTACCTCTGATTTCATCAGCCATAATGACTAAGGCTTTTCCATTATTCAGCATCTGTACGTCCTTAACCTCTTGCCCAGCACTCTTTGCCGCGATAAAGTTACTTAGTCCGTCCCGAGAAGTTTTTCCACTCAGCCCGCGAATGAGTATTTTATTTGTTTCAAATTGAGACTGATCAGCAACCTTCCCTGCATCCGAATCATCGACAGAACAAGGGGATGAGGTTATTTTGCTGACAGGCTTCCTCGAGGATACTGTGTGCTTCTGCTTTTCATGAAAATTTCTTCCTCTTTCATTTGGTTGGTTCGGTTGTCTTGGCATGATTTGAGAGGAATCTTTAGGATCTGGAAACTGATCGCTCTCCTGAAAGTCTCCTTGAATTTGATGTTGCTCCTGGAAATTACCACCTCGTCCGTAACCCTTTGGCTTCGATTTTGGATTTGGTTGACGCCCTCGACCGCCTTGACTTCCACGTCCCATTTGAGGCTGAAAATTGCCTCCATCAACGTAGCGCCATTCCTGAGATCCATAAAGTGAATTATCTCGATATTCCGCAATTTGGTCCTGATGAAAGCCACCTCCTCGTTGTCCTCGTTGGTTTCCACGTCCTCTCTGCGGCGGAAAGGCGTTTTGATGACCAAACCCCCGTCCTTGAGGGGGATGAAATTGATCATGCCTATACACTTGGGTGTTGCTTGGACCCGCCCCCGGGCTCCTCTTCTGGGTTCCGCCTCTTAGAAAGGTGTTTTGTCCTCTGGACCCGCCTCTGGGTCGCACCTCTGGGTCCCGCCTCTGCGGAAAGGCGTCTTGGTGACCATACCACTGTCCTTGAGGGGGGTGAAATTGATCATCGCTGTACGCTTGGGTGTTGTTTGAACCCGCCCACGGGTCCCGCCTCTGGGTCCCGCCTCTGGGTCCCGCCTCTGTGAGAGGTGTTTTGGCCTCTGGACCAACCCCTGGGTCCTGCCTCTGGGTCCCGCCTCTGCAAGGCGTTTCGGTGACCAAAACACTGTCCTTGAGGAGGATTAAATTGATCATCACAATACACTTGGGTGTTGTTTGGACCCGCCCCTGGGTTTCGCCTCTGGGTTCCGCCTCTGGCGTTTTGGCCTCTGAACCCTCCTCTGGGTCCCGCCACCGGGTCCCGCCTCTGCGGAGAGGCGTTTTGGTGACCACACCACTGTCCTTGATCATCGCTATACACTTGGGTGTTTTTTGGACCTGCCCCCGAGTCCCGTTTCTGGGTCCTGCCTCTGGGTCCCCTTTGCGGTCCTCCTCTTGTCTTGCCTCTTTGCCTCGAGTTGTGGCCTCGACAAGCTTGGTTCCCCTTATTTTGATCCGATTCAACGCTATCACAAATATTTCTCCTTTCATCTTGTCGTTCTGCATCACCATGTTGCACTTGCGTTTGATTTTGTTTTCTGGGCTTTCTTTCAAGTTTTCCTTCACGTTTCGTAATCAATGGTCTTCCTTCAGTTGGATTTTTAAAAAGGGCCGCAGGATTCTCCATATCTTGAAACTCCTGTAGCTTCTTACTGGCTTTTTCGATATTTCCTTTCACATCATCTCGACGGAGAATTCTCTTGATAAGAACTGATGGCAAAGAACTGAATGCCTCTTGCAGTTGTTTTGATTTTCGTTCAAATTCCTCTGGGTCCTCTTCTTCCTCTTCCTGCTTTTCTTTCTCGTTCTTGTTGACAGCAGATGAAAAACCCAACTCCCTGTCAATATTCTCCACAACTGTTTCACGAACTCCGTCATCTTCTTTGTCAACAAAGTCACTGACTTTTAAAAAACCAAGATCTTTATTTCCTTCCTCCTCTTCTTCTTCTTCTCCTTCTCCTTCTTCTTCGTAATCGTCGTCGTCTGCGAATGGAAAAGTGAGGGACCAATTAGTATTTATCAATGGCCTTGAGATGTATGTTATACCTCTCAAAGTCAGCCGTATTTATTCGCCTATAAGCCGAGCGATTTTTCCAACAAATTAAACTGAGAACAGGTAAATTCTCGCCAAGGTAGGGGGTTCGGCTTATAGCCGAGTATTTTCGCCAAAAAAAATTTACGGGTGCTTCAAGATTCGAAATTTGACAACATGAAAAACTGGCCAATCAGAAGCGGTCATTCCCACGGTTTGTGTAAACATTGCAACACGATCTGACAGATATCAGCTGATCGAAGCTTTTCATTGTTTTAAAGAAACAAAAGACTTACCTTGACTCCTCTGCTCTGAAAACCAGTCCAGTAGTGTTTGATCCAATTCAGGATACTTTGGTGAAAAGCAGCCCATCGTCTTTCGCTTTGCTGACATTTTAAGCTCACCATTAAACAGGTTCGCTTGATCTTTTCGCCAGCGACGCACCATCGATTCACTGATTCCGTAATCTCTAGCGATCTAGAATGATCCATGTTTATTCATAACCTACTTTTTGGTTGCATGTTTCCCGAGAGGGAAGCTCCTTTTGTTTTCGGTTTATGTTAATTCATCTCAGTTAACGACACGCGTGGAGTATTTATCGGCTTATAGCCGAATGTTTTGTGTTTATTTTTCATTTCAATGCAACAGCTGCTGACATGAGATATATGCTTATAGCCATCTCGAATAAATAAAGTCTAACTCGGTAGCAAAAAAAAAAAAAAATACAGCTAATTTACAAGCGCCCCAAAAGTCAGTGAAAGTGATATACAGTATTCTCTCCCCTCATCCTTCCCCCTCCCCCGCCCCCCACTGGAAATTTGCGTTTCAAATGTCCCCAGGGATTTTTCCCCGATAACCGTACACGATCTCCCTGCAGTGAAGCTCGCGCACTGACTTTCCATCGGAATGCCTCCTCGAACATATAATAAAACGTTTCATTGCACTACAAAACTCAGCGTAACAGTATTGAAGTTAAAGAGATAAAAAGATGTTGTGAAGAGGAAAACCAACGATTTAAGTAGGGTCAGATAAATTATGCCGGTGTAATTTGGGGCATAATGCTACAGTTAGAGCATCAAACATAATGCGTGTATAATGACTAAAATGTATTGAAAAATCCCTTGATGTTATTGTGTAAGGAGAGATGAATTCTGTCGCCTTAGCAGAGTCAACAGTGATCCTGAATTTCTTATTTGAACTTTAGGAATTCGATCCAGAAAAATGATGTAATCTGAACTAAGCCTTTTACTCTCAGCAAGTTTTACCTGTTGGTGATAGCAATGGAGGCGAAGTTGAGGGGCTCTTAAAAGCTAACTACGACAACGAATTATTGAATTAAGCATAATGGAAACAATTTAGCTTAATGCCATGTAGCTCTCAAGGATGACGCTCAAAAGCATAATGCTCAATTGTTTTTACTATTATTTATCTGACCCTAGATTAAAGTAGAGCACACCCACTCGTGGGCATTTCATTCCGTGATGAATAGATTGAAGGTATCTTGATATGCCGGAATGAAAAAAACAGTAACCAAGCGCCCACTTCATTTTATATTTAGCAAGACTTTTTTGTAAATCATACGGTGCATTTGATGGTATTATTTTTTTCCCGATTATTTTACATTTTTCTGTCGCAGGCAAGAATTTTTGCTACTTCCAGCTGATTAAAGCAAGCTCAGTCAGAAATATTTTATTTCCTGGTGTTGATATAGATTTGTTTGTGTTCCATACTATCTGAAAATGCTGAATTGATGGTGGGTGAAAATAATTACACTCGTGTTATAGGACCTCCGGTTTAAGTCGAGCAAATAACATGGGGGATGTCCCTCCGATGAGCAAAGGAAATAATTGTTTTTCGACGCAGACCCAAAGGATTAGGATTTATCAACCAGTAACTTTGATGAGTCTATCATCTCAAGAAACGTAATTCCTTGACTGTGAAGTTTTTCGATGCCCTGTTTCCTTAAAGTGTGTGCTTGCATCAGAAATTTATTGGAGCAAATATGGGCGGCCGTCACCACCAAAAATACAAGAATGTACAATAGATCAGCAAATACAAAGCTGGTCTAAGGATCAGCTGCAGGATAACATAGCTAATAAAGGAATGGCATGGTCAAGTTATAGACGGTTTTGTTTTCCTTCATGAAACAGAACACCCTAAAAATGAACAGTTTGGCCAAATGATAAACGGTCTAGTTACCTATGTCGAATTGGAACATGAAATTGTGATATGGAATAGCTCAATTGTGAATAGATTAGCGCTCACTTGCAACACAGTACACAAACGGTGTAGCGTTGCATCAAATAGCTCAGCGTAATGTCGAATAGTGCAGAGTACACACATATGGTGTAGCGTTGCGTGAAAAGGCTTAGCGCAATGTCGAATAGCATAGCGCACATACAAACGGTGTAGCGTTGCGTGAAATGGCTCAGGGTAATGTCGAATAGCACAGCGTTCGTGCAAACGGTGTAGCGTTGCGTCAAATAGCTCAGCGTAATGTCGAATAGTGCAGAGTACACACATATGGTGTAGCGTTGCGTGAAAAGGCTTAGCGTAATGTCGAATAGCAAAGCACACATACAAACGGTGTAGCGTTGCGTGAAATGGCTCAGGGTAATGTCGAATAGCACAGCGTTCGCACAAACGGTGTAGCGTTGCGTGAAATGGCTCAGCGTAATGTAGAACGGTACAGCGTACATACAAACAGTGTAGCGTTGCGTGAAATGGCTGAGCGTAATGTCGAGTGGTACAGCGTACAAACAAATGGTGTAGCGTTACATAGAATAGCTTTCCAGAACATCAGAAGCTCTAGCTGAACATTAAATTGCTTAACATTACATGAAATATTTCGATGTTGTGGCGAATCGTCGAGCTTCCTTGTGGCGTGATGTGAAGGCCGAAACCACCAAAATACAAACCGCAAATGGAACAGCGATCTGCTGGGGGACATAACGTCATCGAATGTAAAGATTGGCGCGAAACCATTACATGTGTAGTCGCTGTGTTGAAGAGTCTTCACTTTGCCTTGCCTCAAAGCAGAACCAATTCGTAACTTTTCGGTGAATTTTTCCTCTATTTTTTCCCTACCGGTATTGCATTTATTCGTTGTCGTTCCTGAAAGCGTCAATTGAAATAGCAACGTGACTGAATTCTACCGGGGTTTGCCGGCCTCCCGGTTTAAGTAGTATTATGACGTGCATCAAATGTAGATTGTCGAGCTCTCTTTTCTCTTCTAACTCGCGCTAACATTTCAATAAGAGTTTAAATTCAACAGCTCTTTGACATTGCTGGAGTACGTGAGAAGTTGGATTTTGTGTGCCTTTGTGTGCAGCGTTGGACGCCATGGTAAAAAAAAAACTGATATCCTTGATCTGTTGAAACTTCGAAGAACAAACAAACAAATATCATTCGCAATGGCCGCCAACGTAATAGACAACAAGAAATTAATGATACCGACCAGCGTGGCTTAGTTATCCTGCCTTGTGCCAAAGGATTTTCCGAGAGAGTCACAAAAGTTCTTCGAAGTTTCAACATCAAGGTCGCTCATAAGCCTATCCGCTCCACCTTAAGCGTATACCGAAAAAGACAAGATCGAGCAAGAGGCTTCCAGGGGAATCGTGTACAAGATTGTGATTGTGTTTTCGTTTGTCAGGCCTCGCGCGCACTAAAAACACGAGTGAAAGAACGCACAAGAGCCATAGCAACATTGGATGAAAACTCTTTGTTGGCCAAACACCACATGCTTCACAGTTACCAAATAGATTTGGAGAGTGTTGAAATTGTTGACAGGTCATCGGCGTGGCAACAAAGACTAATTCTTGAAGCTTGGGATTCCATGCGAGATAGAAACGCTATAAATGAACACAACGCTACCAAACATATACAATAACATTAAGAATTTTTTAGAGCTCTTAAAAGTACTCTAGAGACTATTGTTACACTTTAAAAAAAAATTCCTTCGAGATTTAGTTTTATCACACATCTTGGACATATATCAAGCAGGACGCCGTTAGACATTTGTAGCCGAAAACGTTCAAGACAATACATTTTTTAGTCAATGTCTATATTTTTTATTCTTTTTACCAAAATTTTTAATATGCCCGGTTAAACACCGAATATTTTTAAGGGAAGACTGTTTATATTTATTATTTTAAAGAGGTTTACATTATTACATAAATTAAGCCAATTTACAAAATAGTCAAGAATCTTGCTCCACGTTATTTAACTGAATTATTGCCCAAACTATCGAGTGAACGTACGCATTTTCGTCTCAGATCAAGAGATAACTTCACTCAACTTCGTTGTGGAACTTCTACGTTTTAAAAGTCTTTTTTTCCATCAGCAATCACTGCCTGGCTGGAATTCTCTGGACCTAGATGTCCGAAACTCTGTATCTCTTCCCACTTTTAAAGCAAAACTCGGTCGATTCTCTTTCCGCATACTTATCATAGGTTATATGATGGTTCTTTGTCAAGGCGTGCATCTGTTGATCACACCCCCCTTAGACTTGAGTTTTCTTGTGTAAGAGAATATCTCTTCAAAATTAATAGTTGTATGTCGCCTATTTGCGAGTGCAGTTTTGACTCTGAATCGGTGAAATACTTTTTCTAGTACTGCCCAAGTATGCCGCTCAACGTGATGTTCTCCTTACCTCTCCCGCTAATATTCTAGGTAAAACATGGTCATCGAGTAGCGATGCCAGGAAACTAAATTCTTTATTGTATGGTGTTGAGTCTGTAAATTACGACGTCAACTCTGCCTTTTTTCGCGAAGTACAAAGTTTTATAATTAACACTAATCGCTTCTCTGAGGCCATTGTTTGAATGTTTAAATGTATTCCAAGCTTAGTAAGTTTAATTCGTTGTTATTGCAACTTGTGTGTGTTTGTTATGCCTGAATAAATTGATTTTATATTTGTAAAATTGTAATTCCCCTCGTAAAACCTAAGTACTTTTGGGAAAAACAATGATAACTATGTTTAAATAAAAAATAAAAAATAAAACGTTTTACATTATATTACTTTGTTTATTGCGACGTCCGCACTTGCCTTCTTAAAAAGTGATGACAAAGGAATGGAAAAGAGCAGAGGGGAGATTTTTATGTATGCGCGCTAAACCAGCTAGAAAAAATACTACTTAGGCAAACGCTATTTTTGGAACGCGGGAAAAAACCTTGAAGTGTTTCTGGTCCACACTTGTAATTGACGTTTGAACGAGAAAATAAAAGAAAAATATAATTTACATTTACTATCACTGCAGCCAGGAAAAATAAATTCAAGATTTTCGTGCTCAATTTTTAGTAAATGTCTCAAATCACGCACATTGAGGCACAAAGCAACAATTGCACCTTTCACGCTATTTCTTGAACTAAAATTATCATAAAATTCTAGGAATTTGTGAAGTCAGAAACACAAGCCCTCGCCGTGAGTGCAGTGGTGCGTAAATACAATTTCTACGATATGCGAGCTAAAAGTGTCTCGATCGGTCGCTTTAACGCAAGATTCTACCAGATTAAGTTCTAAATCCATTTATCAGTAATCCTCACCCAAAAAAAGAGGTACAAAATCGACTGTCGAACAATCACGAGTACAAACGCTCGTTTAAGTGCACAAGAATATTAAGGATCTGGTTTCGATTTCCATTCAATGCAAATTGCAATGAAGCATCCTTACCGTAATATGAATATTCGTCATCCATTGTTGATGAGGCGCGAGCTTGAAACTTGTCCTTGATAACTTGTATAATTGGCGAATGCTGAGATGGAAAGAAAAAGATCTTTGTCACTGCTTACTCAAAGACTACAGTGAAAATGAAAACAAGACAAAGTAAGAGTATATTGTAGTATCAAACGAAAATATCTTAAGTTTGCAATGAATTACAGAAGGCAGCTTCATCTCCAAAGCTGCAGAGGATTTTGTCTTTATTAAGTAGTTAACACTTGCAGTCGTACATCACTTTGAGGGCACTTAAGGAGGATTATTTGCTTGTATTTTCTATTACAAAGCCAGGAAATTGTTCCGCTCGCGAGAACTCGTGTTACTTGATACACCCTTAAAATTCTGAGAAATTATTACATCAGGATAATTCATAAGGAATCCAGAAAACTCACCGTCGATCTTTACAGTTTTTCAAGCCAGGATTCCCATTCTTTTCCCTACAGAAACACTGTCATAAAATAACTCATTCGTATGCACTGTACTTTTACTTTGAATAAAACCGTAGTTCCGGTTTTTCTGGGAAACCGTGAGGGAAAAAAGAGGCTGGGAACTGGGAGAAAGCCAAATTGTGACTTTCCTTTCCGTGTGTTATCTGTGAATCCAGTTGTTTTCAGCCATGTTTTTTAAGACACGGAGAATGACAAAACAGCATAATTAAATTTTACTTCTCTAATAAACAGAAAATTAAATGAATGTGAGCGGAATGGGTAACCTCATCACGAGAAGAAAACTGGCATTGTAGCAGCTAAAACTGCGTGCGTGATCTGAAATGTTTCGCTGGTCAAACCAAGATTGTTACTTAGCGTAATTGTAAGTTGACGTGGTCATTTTCTCCTACGATTAAAAAAAAAACCTTTGGATAATTCGTTCATACTTCGCCAAATTTTGCTGACTATCTCTGTCACGCCACTGTGTTCACCCTGGACAAGAATGACACCTGCACACGTGATCAACAACTTCGCGTCAGTGAACTTGGCGAATCTCCTAATTTTGATGAGCTGTGTTTTAAAGAGCTTAACAACACCTTTGCGCTCGATCTTTTGGAATGTGAAGGCGTTTGCGAGACCTTTTCGAAGTCTCTCTTTTAACAGCGATCTTTGTGGGGCCAGCGAGTTACATTTTTATTTCGTCCTTATTTGCGGATCTGGCCCAAAATCATGTGGCAAACGAGGCTTCTTTGCGGGTGACTCTTCAGTTTGCACAGGAGGAGGAGTTGGAACCAATCTTTTCGCCGCTTCTTTATGGACATGATCTTTTTAACTTTAGTTCTTGCAACTTCTCGTCATAAAGGCCTTCTTTGCAGCCGCTCTTTTGAGACATTTCTAAAATAATGAAAAACGATGAAAAACTAGGAGAGGAATATTCTATTGCCGTTTACTCCGCGCGCAAGATTTCAGATGTAACTTTTACACAGTCTTGGGTTTGACCGTGTATGAACCATGAGGAATATTCTATTGTCGTTTACTATGTGGTTAAGATTTCAAATGTAACTTTGTAAACAGTCTTTACTTTAACTGTGTAATAACCATCGCCCTCGCGATGGCCAGAAAAACCATACGGCAAATGACACAAGATTTACTTTGTTACACGTGCTCTTGCTCGGGTTGGCCTGCTGACAAGCTGGGAGGGTATCAAAAGTTGGAAAAAGACTAAACAGTCCCCTTATAAAGCGATTATTAAATAAATATTTAGAGATTTCGCTTATAATTGCAGAGTCGGTCACAATAGTATTATTACTACAGAGGTAAATCATTACACGATATCAAACTACAAATACACTTATCTTTGTTTTGAAAATGGTGGATGAATGACCTAATGTGATTCGCCTGTTTTTTTCCTGTTAAAAGCTGATTTCTCTTGAAGCTGGCAGAAACAGATAGGGACAGCCTCAAAGCCGAGAAGGAATGAGATAGGAGGTGTGAATGGGAAATCAAAAGATTCCCTGCCTTTGCAAGCTAGTATTACAAAGTGTCAATTGCGGACAATGAGCCTTTCAGTTTTGGCGCGAAAATATTCGTGACAAGTGATGCCGCTTGCTTGTCACGCAACATTCATAGTCACACGGTCTCTCTACAAAAGCAAGGATTACTCTACTCAGAAGACTTACACTGCGATTATAGAAATTTTGATAGGAAGTTTCTTGTCTGAGTGTTCTTATCTGCTGGTAGGACTTCCTCACCCTCACTCGTTCATACCGAAAAACGTAAGATATTGCCACAGAACCACTAGTTGAAGACGAAAAAAAACTAACACGTTAATTTTTCTTTCTCTATTTTATTTCAGGAAATAAACCTGTTCGTGAAACCCGTGGGTAATACTATGCCACACTTTCTGACCGAGCTTTTGGCTGCCAACTAAAAAATAAATGCTTCTCTAAGTCTCTTTTCAGTAAATCTTTTACATCATAAATCAAATGTCATCTTAGAGACGTCACTGTCATTTCTCAAAAAGGTACGCATATTTTTCGAAATTCTCTTCTTTCGCCAGTTTTATTTTTGGTAGAAAATTGATGTAACAAAATATTGTTTGTCAGTCTGGCGGTAAAAAGGAAAATACCGTTTTGAGAACAGCAGAACTCTTTTCTTTTCCAAGAGAGAAAACGGGGCAAGCGCGAGGTGAACGCGTGGGGCGCGGAACACGACTATGTCGTGGTCCCCGCGCACGTCTCGCATTTCCCTACGCTCGCGCGAGAAACGTAAAAAAATGACAACTGTAGCCTGTAGGCTAGTGGTAACTCCACTGTAGTGATAAAAAGCGTTCACCTGGATTTTACTTTGTTTGGCATAACAAGGACCCTCTAGCTCCAAGGATATAATCATTCAATTTATAGGATAAAGAATAAGTTTTGAGTCGAGACAGTAAAGAATGCTATCGAGAAACTATAACCAACATTTATATGATGTTCCCTACTGTGAAGGAGAACGATTTTCTGCAATTCATATAGCTGATAAACTAAGTTGAACTATAAAGCATTTCAAGCCTTTTTGGCTTTTAACTCTGCCGTATTCTGAGTAAAGGTCTATGTACCCATCAAAAGGTTATAAGGTATTCAGGGTAACACTGATTATCAAAGAAAACAACAAAGATGCTGGGGCTTGATTGGTTATTTACCACAGAATCGTAAAGAATTTCAGGTTTTGATGGGTTTTTTGGTGGAGGCACCTTCATTGAAGGATTTCCAACACAATACTGCCCCACGAGAACCTTAGCAAGGTACATGTGGCGCCCTCCAAAACCACCACCCCCAGCGTATCGAACAGAGTAGTGAGCGTCTCTGGCGAAATAAACACCACGTCCATAAGCCGTGCCTGAAAAAAAAAAAAGAATGCTCAATGTAGAGAAAAATATCAACAAAATCATACATTCAGTGAAGTTATTTGTTAGGAGAGAGGCAACTGTATTATTCTTCTATTATTACAGCTTTTATTACCAATTTTTGGCTCCAAAGAGTGATTTGGCCTGAGCTCATGCAACGTCTGGGTGACTTGTTAGGACAGGTAGACAAATATATGAATAGAATTGTGGCCAAAACATCATTAGGCTTTAATAGTTAAGAGCAATCGCACTAAAATATTGCTTCAATGATATTTTTTAACACACGAAGCTTTCGAAATGAATGATCCTTGCAGGATGTAGAAGGCGTGCCACATATTAACCATGTGAAAACCCTGCTCATCATAGAGTCTGCAGCTCAATAGTAGAGCGCTGAAAAATGAAATCTGAAGATCTGAGGTTCGATTCCTCACAAGTACTTGAAATTTTTCCTTAATCCCACCCCGTAGCTAGACGAGAAAACTTCTCCTCTATTTAAAATTTAACTGACTTACCATGAGCCCCACAGAAGCTCCTGTTGAATCCTTGTGTGTTGATATGGTTGATATTTTTAGCATCAGTCCCATGAAACAGCTGTCTTTCACTATTTCTTCCAGTATCTTTATCCATTTTCTGTTTTCGTACCAGGTAAGACTGATACAGATGAGGATTCTGTACGCGTTCAATCCTCTGAATATTTAACGCACCGACTGTAGCTTGAAACTTACGTACCACATCTTGATACTCAGGGGAACTTGGGTGCAGCGGTACTTTATGTACAGTGGAGTCATGGCGGGGCATTGGTGTCCAGTGCTTTGGCAGAGCAATTCCTACAGAAAGGACCAAAACATTAGAATGTTGAAATGAAAACCCATCGACTGAAGTTAAATTTCAACATCCAAGAACATATTCAAGGTAAGACACATTCAAGATTATCAAGAAAGCTCAGTGGAGACATTTAAGGACAGCTTTTCTGAATATCCCCTTCCTGTATTAAATGTTTATTACCTTAAACGTCCTCTGGGACTTGAAATAGCTCTTAGTCCTTTCTTAAAGCTTATCGAAACATCCTCTTCAAAAGAAATGCATAGCAACTAACCTTCATCAGCACCCTTCACCTTTCTTGTCAGTGTTATTTGTTCACCAAATGTTTGTCCACGTCCAGAGTTTCTCTTCAAGTCGATAACAAACTTGTCTCCTCGTAGAGAAACTTGCACTGTGTGCTCGTCTTTGCTGTGGGCCAACTCAATCTTGGCATTTGCTTTCGGAGCAAACGCCATTTGTATGCCTTGTATTTCATAGCTCCACTCTATGTTCTTTAAAACCAACTTCGCTTGTTCCTCCTCCTGCTTCTTCTTCGTCCTCTCATTGATCTCTTTCCAGATCTCCCCGACTATTCCAGAAACTTCGGTTGGTCCACCACGAACGACAATGCGATCAACGTCATCCTCAATTTCAAGTTTGACGTCACGGTCTTTAGCCTTTTTTCTCAGGATATCTTTCTGCTTATCGGAAAGCTGACTGACCGTTTCATTTTCGACTTTTTCCGTTGTACAAGCGTCAGAGAAACCTTTCTTCAAAGATTCCACGGCTTTTCCCACGCTCACCTTGTCTTTGCCGATCACAGAAATTATTACAGAATGTTCATTACTTTGGCCTGGTGCCTGCCTACGTCCGCGTCTTCGGGTTTGCTTAACTACTGCATCCTCTGAGTCACTGTCTTCTTCAATACCTCGCACCAGTTGTTTTTTCTGCTCTTGTAGAAACTCCTGCATCATAGGGGCCTGGAAGACGACCACTCTTACTTTTTTAATATTTTTACAGCGGGCAACGAATGCGTTTAGTGCTTTGAACGTCAGTTGGGCTGAGTCCGCTGCGGTCAAGCCGTATCCTCCTGTGCCAACACACGGAATTGAGATTGCTTGAAGATTATTGGCATCCGCAACACAAAGACCCTCCTCCAAACATTGCTGGAGATGTCGCTTATCTGAGGAGCCTGGAATTATGTGAATAATATGAGGTACTCGTAAATAACCTCCGCTGGTCATTTTCGCTGTTCCAGGAGGCTGCTTTCCCAATTTGTTGCATTCTTGTTGCACAAGTCGACCACTCCGTCTTGCTATGGCTTTGCTTAGGTCTCCAGCATTATTCATGTTCATGTCCGTGCTGTTGATATTCATGATAGCATCAGTGCTGTTCTCTTGCGTCAAATCACCATTTATCACCTCGATACTGAACGGGCTAGTTAAGGTTATGCGCTGAGCCACACCTACCTGTGGAGAAAACGAATGCCTCTGATGTTCTTGCTGAAATGCCGACAGCATTGGAGACTCGAAGATTACGATCCTGACCTTGCGGACACTACGGAAGCTTCCACTAAAGTTTTTCAGGGCCTTAAATATCAGGCTGGCCGAGTCCACTGCAGAAACATGGAATGCACCAGTACCAACTGCGGGAATCGAAATGGATCTAAGACTATGCGTCTCTGCCAGCCGAAGACATCTTTCAACACACTGCTGGAGGTGGTCTTTATTATTGGTGTCTGGAATTAAGTGAATAATTTTCTGCGTAAGGAGATTTCCACTGCTGGTGATCAATGCGGTTCCACCTGATTGCTGTCCGAACTGCTTCAACTCAGTCTCAACCTGTGGCCCGGCTAGCTGTTTCACTGTCTGGCTCAACTTTCCAGCACTGTCCATATTCAAGTCTTTACTTGTTATATTCACTATGGCATCCGTAGTTTCCTGGCACAAGTCGCCCTGCAAGACTTCAATGCTTACACCCAATGTCCCCGCTGTTTTCTTCCATCCAAAGAAGGAACGTATTCCTTTAGTTAAAGTCGTGATGGCAGGGAGGCTAGTTTGCTTGGGCTGTAGTTTGTCCATCTCTTGTTTGAAGGCGGTAGTTAATGCTTGATCTTGGTTAAACACGACAAATCGGATGTCCCGTAAATTAGAACCAGGGTTGGTTTTGCAGAAATTGACTGTTTCATCCAACATGATTCTCGAGGCTGCATCGCGTGGGAAGCGCAGGTTTCCAGTCCCAATGACAGGAAATGCAATGGAGTTCGCTCTAAGCGTTTGGCCTGTTTGCAGACACTTTTGAACGATGGCCCTTAGCGTCTACAAAAGATGAAATAGAAGTTGTTGAAAATCTTTTCGTTCCTATGTGATCTCAATAGCAATTCTCCACACTGTCTTCTGTACATTTCTTTTGAGTTTGGCACTTAAAATTTGGCGTTAAGTCATGTAATATCCCCTTATTGGTATATTTTCCTTCTTCCCGTCGCCTTTCCGGTTGATAATGGATTGATAATGGGAGGAGAAAAAAAAACTGACTAGTC